GATTCGAACTGAAGATTCACTGGAAATGTTTTGGGACAAGGTCAGAGAGGCGGCCGTTTGCGAAGATTTAGCTGCAGATTCGCTAGAATCATCCTGGGTCATGGTCAGAGAAACCGCCGGAATTGATGATTCAAATGTGGATTGACTAGACTCACTCTGGGTCATCGTCGAAGAAGCGGCCGCTTCTAAAGACTTGGATTCGGATTGACTAGAATCATTCTGGGTCATGGTCAGAGAAGTCGCTGTGGCTGATGAATTTAATACAGATTCACTGGAAATATTCGAGTGTATAGGCTGTACGCAAACGGCTTTGGTGTCACCAGAGACAGAGTGTGCAAGCTGTACCAAGAGTATAAAAGAAAGAAGTTTCGTGACAAAAGAAGCAAACCTCGGGGTGCTGGGCTTTTTGTCGAGAATGTTGATCGAAAACATAGTGAGATTGCAAAATGAGCGGAGCTGGCGTTGAAAGCCTCAAATATAGTAAATATGAATGACGTGAGACAGCTGAAGGATACTTAAAACCTAAAGTTTTTGGCCCCCAGCTAGGTTTAAAAAGAATTTGAATATCATCCATTGTCTCAGCTATTATGGCGAGACTCTTTTGCATGTGTTGGACTTTCCAAATAATATCCGCAGAGCCAGCTATTTAGCTGGTCGTTGCAGACATGTATAGGCTTTCCCAAGTATACAACTAGATTTTGAGTAATTATACATTGATTCTTAGGATGATGTTTCTTTTTGATACGCTTTACTCTCAATAACACCGCCGCGTTTGAGACAGTTGACTGTATCATGAAGAGTCAGTGACAAGAATAGCTTTGAATGAGCCGCTTTTTGAGGCGTGTTTGTTTACCACATTACGAACCGAGAAACAATAAATAGTACGTCCGAGGCTGTGTACGTGAGTTCGCCTTTACTTGGCATTGAGGAATGAAACAGCCCAATTTGGGAATTTGTTTTACTGATCAAATTTTAGAAAGTCTGTCTTTATCGAAGATTATGGTCGGGAATATTGCTAACAAATTTTGAAAGAAGAATCTTCTTAAACGAGATACTAAAATGTATGTTGTCCTCTCAAAATTTTATATTTGCGTTCGCTCTTGTTTGATGGCACTAGAAAAATGTAACTGCGGCCTCCGTCAGTTCTACAATAAGAACCGCAGGTATATAGACTTATCCGGTATGGACGTGTATTTCTGTTGATGCGTGCAGTAGACTGAAAATAATAGTCCGTTCGGGGTATTGCAATCTGTGCGAAACCACCTCTATGATGCCCCTAAAAATCTAATTTTATTTTATTTTTTCTTTCTAGAGTTTGTGTTCTTGTGGGCTGTATGCATATTGGCCTAAACATTTACTTTGATCATTCCGAGATACAATGACTGGATACAATGACTGGATACAATGTCTGGATACAATGACTGGATCCAATTCTGAACCCTATTCTTTCCTAAATGCACCTTACTACAATCTCTCTTCTTTCCTTACAATTTTTTTGAGTATAAGATGCACACGCCCTTATATCTCTGGTCTTAGCGTGACTGGCTTGACTTGGTTAACAAAGGACAATAGGCCCCTGTATATTCCGTATTAGTGCTTTGGGTACTTCCTAAGATTTGTCAAGTACAATATCGCACAGGTCTATGGTTGAATTCTTCCCTGCATTGAAACTATATGCCCAGAGCCTTGGTCAATGTTGTAGACAGTCTCAGTATGCGTATACCGGGCATATTTTCGTATAGCATCTAAGGTGAAAACATGTGAACGAACAGTACTATGGTAAACACCACATCGGTGGGACTTAGCTTATGGTAAGGTAAGAATTGATTCAGATGTAGATATATGAAGAGAAGTTTTCCTCAAAGAAGGAAGAAAAGGGGACATGAAAAGTTTTCATGTCTTATATAGATGACAACAGTGAGAGTGGCTTCGCCTCAGAGTGCTGTCCTAACCCTCATACTGGTTGGGTCATCTATCTCAACAATAGTTGAAAGTATTGAATGCAGGTTGTTTTTGAAACGCTACTATGGAGATCGAAAGCTAACCCACCTCTACATTAAGTGTAAGATTGTGCATTTCTGGTAGCAAAAGATTGGCTTTCAAGCTCGCATACACTTCATAGAAATGCTACCCATTTAAATGCATCCTTTAATGAGTTTAGAAATTCTAATTGGTTTGTTAAAGTCGTTCGCAGAATTTATTTGCTTATGGACGAGGAGGCAAAGGTACGTCTTGCCGCCTTGTCAAATGAACAATATTCACAGGCCCTTCAAAAAACATATCCTTCGGAACGATGATATTAAGCTGATTTTATTCAAGTTGACATTTTTTTTGGAGCAGTCTATCTGAGGGGAGACTCGTATACTCTTTGGAAAATCTCGTGAATCAATGCTCGCGCCTTTCCACCTAAGCCAATGTTGCGATCTCTTATTGGGTTTTTTTTTATATTTTTTTCGTTAGTGTTGGGATTTTACATCTCTCCAGTGGCAGCCAATAATTGTTTTTGGAAAAAAAAGGGAAAGACCAAATAATCGGTGTAAGTTCCAAGAGCAGCACGTTCGCAGCCTTGCGCAGGTCGTGGCTCAACGAAACTTTAATCACTCCAAGATCACAAGTCCTATGAGTGCATTTTGGCCTCTCTAAAAGTAGAAAATAAGGCTCATGAGAGAAGGCTTTTTTTATGGGCCCTATATATATATATTCTAGATGGCTACTAAAAATGACTTCTTTTGCTGTATCGGGTATGACGACAAAGAGGCTTGCGCACTTCCAAGGCAGCAATCAGTCCTCCAAGTGGTAGAGCCACGCTCACAGCCAAATATTTGACTGGTATCGTCCATTCATTTCATCATCACCTATGTGTTTTGTTCTTCTGCTGTGTCCACAGTATAGATGGCAAGTCACAGCAGGCACAAGTAGGAATGGAAGACAGAGAGTTGAGCCAGACACAAAGGTCTAGGACTTGTAAGAAGCCCAGTCATTTTTGACGGAAAAAAAAGTCAAAGTCCATGTGAAAGAACAATCGGATATACCCGATTTCCGCAGCTTACTACAATTGAACACGTCTGAAATCACACAAGTTGTAGCTTTAGTCTGGTGTTATCAGGCCCGCTTGCAACATTTAAACGTAAAGAGCTAGCCTCGACCTGATTCCGACTTTCCCGTCTAATCGCGCTCCAAAATTGCTAGTCCCAACTAAAGACGTGTTGTGACCGGCGTCCCGGTGCGGCACACCGGTCGGCTCCATAGTGGGTCGATTCCTGCCGCGTATCTAGACATTGTACCGGAAATAAGGCTGATCAAGTCAACCTGCATTTTGCAGCGGAGATTTCCGTCACCGGAATGCCGGGCCACTCATTCACCAACGCAGAAGGGCCACGAATGTACCATAGGTGTCTCATAGAATAAACAATGATATTGAATAAATTACTATCTTCACGAATTCAGCGCCTGCTTGCGTCTCTAGTACCTCTTCATCGCAAATCCCCAGACCTTCTGTGTCACGCACGCACGCTCACGTGAGCTTCGGCTGTTCAGGAAATTGCGGCGATCTCCGAGCGCAGCTGGCAATCGCGGCCCAATTGATAAGCTAATCGACAAAGGGCTCATCTGCGGGGAGGATAAATACCGGCCGAATTCCGTCGTCCTCAAAAAAACAAGAGACACCATCAAATCGGAAATCTTTCTGTTTCCACAAGCTAGAGCCTAGATCTCAAAAAACGTCCCATTCCACTTAGTAACGCCTCTATCCGACACCGCCGGCCCAGTTCACCATGTCTGTTTTATTAGATTCTGCTTACGGCAAAGGAAACGTCAAGTTTTTGAAGGTCAAGAAAGACAAGCACAACCCACAAGTGCAGGATGTGCTCGAGGCCAACTGCAGGGTGTTGTTGAAGGGAAACTTCGATGTTTCCTACACAAAGGCGGACAACTCGCCCGTAGTTCCCACGGACACGGTCAAAAACACGATTTTGGTGGAGGCCAAAAACACGGACGTGTGGCCAATCGAGCGTTTTGCCGCACACTTGGCCAAGCACTTCACCACGAAGTACGCGCACGTGCTGGGCGTGGATATCCAGATTGTCCAGTCGAGATGGACCAAGTTCGATGTCAATGGCAAGCCACACGATCATTCTTTCCGCAATGAGGGCCCCGAGACGAGAAGGACGCATTTGGAGTACAGTAAGACGACCGGCCAACTTACCATCACGTCGGCCATCAAGGATTTGACAGTGTTGAAGTCCACCGGGTCGATGTTTTATGGATACCACCAGTGCGACTACACGATCTTGAAGCCCACCACCGACCGGATCTTGTCGACAGATGTGGACGCCAGCTGGAAATTCAGCTCATGCTTCAAGAGCCTTGACGACGTGTTCAAACACGCAGATAACGGTGTGTTTGACCAGACCTACGAGGCTGCCAGAAAGATCACGTTGGACCGCTTTGCCTTGGAGAACTCGCCCTCGGTGCAAGCCACCATGTACAACATGTCCCACGACATTTTGCAGGCTGCTCCTCAGATCGACAACGTGACATACGAGCTTCCCAACAACCACTATGTCTTGTACGACTTGAGCTGGAAGGGCATCACGGACAACAAGGAGTTGTTCTACCCATCGCCCGACCCCAACGGGTTGATCTGCTGCACGGTCGGCAGAAACGGGGCTCCCAAATTGTAGGACGCTGAATTTCTCGAGCTTGCCTCATACCGGGTATGCTAGAGGAATTGCTAGAGGAACGAGGGATCTCATGGCCACTGACTGGACGCACGGCCTACTTAATAGTAATGAATAGTTTTAGAAAGCAGCGTATTGTATTTGGAGGAGCTTGAGTGGAAGATGCTCGAGGACTTAGGCATGGCACCCGGGCACCATGGTGGCACCGTATCGAGGAAGAAAAAAAGAATAGCGGCTTTCGAGGACTCGGAAGCAGTAGTAGGGTAAAAGTACCGGGTTCTGCAAAAGATTCAGTTTCGAGGCAACGCCACTTCCCTGGAGTTCACTATCTGCTCATCCAGATATCGATCAGTTTGTTTCTTGAATCAACAAGCACTGAGTCGGCCCGCATCAGCATGCGGTCCTGGCGACTAGTTCTGCGAACTTGTAACGGTCGAAAACGTGACGGGTCAAACTGCCAGGCGCTGTGCTCAGCCGTCGACTTCCAGGCGCTGTGCTCGGCAGTCGACTTCCAGGTGCTGTGCTCAGTAGTCTATTTTCAAGCGCTGTGTCAGCCGTCTATTTCCAAGAGACAACACTAAGTTTCGAAAGAAGGATCACTTGGCTTTATTGGTGCAAGCGCCTCGGCTACCCCGCACCGCAGAGGGCCCTTCCGTGGATATCCTACATGTCGTTCATTCCAGGCAAGCTTGATGAGATTGCTGGAATCATAGATTGCAACTTACGCCCTGGCTGCCCGTGCACACGTGGTGGAGATGCCCGCGTGTGTAAGCCGGAGCAAACCAGCCATTTCCAGTACCAAGTGGAAAACACGGCCGTGGACACAATTTCCAGGGCCGGACCAATGGATGGCGCTGCGAGGCTGGGCTGTTCTTCGCAACGTGTTATTATATGTTGATAGCTTTTCGTGTTATTATATGTTGATGGCTTTATGTGTTATTGTATTATTGTTAGCTTTTTGTATCATTATATTGATAGCTTTTCATGCTATTCTAATACTGTTAGCTTTTCGTTTATTATATGTTGATAGCTTTATGTGATATTGTATTATTGTTAGCTTTTTGTATCATTATATTGATAGCTTTTCATGCTATTCTAATACTGTTAGCTTTTCGTTTATTATATGTTGATAGCTTTATGTGATATTGTATTATTGTTAGCTTTTTGTATCATTATATGTTGATAGTTTTATGTATTATTGTATGTTGATGGCTTTTCGTGTTATTGTATGTTGGTGGCTTTTCGTATTATTCTATTATTGTTAGCGTTTTGTATTATATTATTGATTGCTTTATCATATTGTTGATAGCCTATTATATTATAATATTGATAGCTTTTCATATTATTATGTTATTGTTGATAGCTTTTCATATTGTTATATTGTTAGCTTTTTTCTATTATTGATGGCTTTTCGTGAATTATATTTTTTTTTCATATTATTCTATTGTTGTTAGCTTTTCGTATTATCATATTATTGATAGCGTTTTGGCTGTTCTTCGCAACGCCATTTCGAGTACGCGCACACCAAATTCCCGCAAAACTAGATTTATTTTCCTACAGTCCCTGGAGTCCATACTTGGATATCGCGTGTTCCAGCATTGTGGCCACGCCCCGGGCGCCGGCTCCGAGTGTCCTACAACATGGACGGTGGCCCCCGGCCAGGGCCTTATCCACGGATAAACCGGGCGGCGCGGGCGGCGCGAGCAGCAGCCGCGGCCTGTGTGCACACCGCTCGGCCCCGGTCGTTCACAGCCGCTCGTTTAATGCCGCAGGCCGTTGGGTTAATCACGCAAGTCGGTACCCCACGAACAGAGGCGGGCTTGTGATGAGCACCAGGCGGCGCGCTTGGCTCTGTGCATGGTGGCATTCGCCCAAAGTGCCGAATCCTCGTCCATTGGGACCCCCGGATCTTCCTCGTCATGGGCCTGCGGTGCGGGCCACTTCCGGCCGTAGGCCCCAGCCGCGCCATCTCGGCTGTTCGAGAACCGCGCTAACCGACTTGTGCTGAGGCGCCCCAGAATTCACGCACGCCCGGCAGATGGGCACACGGCTGGACCGAATACGAGACGCGTATAAATACAACGGGGACACCAACTTTGGGCCGGCCGTTTTTGCGGCAGTGGCCATGAACAACTCCGACTCGGAATCCATACCCAACCTCTCCAGCTCAGACGTGCTGGAGGAAAAGCCCTACGTGCTGGAGGAAAAGCCCTACGCGCCGCATGCAGGTCTGCAACCGAATCTCTCCAGGAAGAGCACCAATGCCGGCGTCCAGCTGCTCATCAGCAAGCTCGAAGAAGACAACCATGGGCTCGGGCCCTTGGAGCAGCCGTACGACGTGGAACGCACCTACACGCGGCCCGACCCGAAATCCACTTTCCACGAAAACGACCCCTGGAAGTACCCGGTGGACGAAGACACCGGGTTGCGGCTCGTGGAGTTTGTTCCGCAGGACCCCGAAAACCCCAAGAACACCAGCAGGGCAAAGAAATGGCTCTACACGGTCAGCTTGGGCATGATCTGCTTCACCGTGGCCCTCGGCTCGGCCATCGTCACCGGTGACTTGGAGGACCCCGCGGCGTATTTCGGCGTTTCGGAAGAGGTCATGATTCTCTCTGCAGTCACGGTCTTCGTGCTTGGTTTTGGCGTGGGGCCCTTGGTGTTTGCCCCGGCCTCCGAGGAGGTCGGCCGCAAGCCCGTGTACGTGGTGACGTTGGGGCTCGCGGTGATCTTCATCATCCCCTGTGCGGTGGCCCAGAACATCGGCACCACGTTGATCTGCCGCTTGATCGACGGCATAGCGTTTTCCGCGCCCATGTGCTTGATTGGCGGCTCGTTGGCCGATATCTGGGACGCCAAGGACAGAGGCCTGGCCATGGCGGTCTTCTCGGCCGCGCCGTTCTTGGGACCGGTGTGCGGCCCCATTTTCGGCGGCTTGCTCGGTGACTATGCGCCCACCTGGAGATGGATCTACTGGACGTTTCTCATCATCGCAGGCTTCTTCTACGTGGCCTTCATCCTCATTGTGCCGGAGACGCACCACAACACGATCTTGAAGAAACGGTCGAAGAAGCTCCGCAAAGCCACCGGCGACGACAGCTACAAGGCGTTGTGCGAGCTTGTCGAGAGGTCGCGGGCTGAGATCTTCAAGACCTCCATGACGCGCCCCTTCTTGCTCCTTAGCGAGATCATTGTGTTCTTGGTCACCTTGTACATGTCCGTGTGCTACGGGTTGCTCTACATGTTTTTCTTTGCCTACCCGGTCGTGTACATGGAGGGCAAGGGCTGGTCGGCCTCGGCCACCGGGGTGATGTTCATCCCCATCGGCGTGGGGGTGATTCTTGCCAGTGCCATCACGCCCTTCATCAACAACGACTACAACAAGAGGGCCCAGAAATACAGAGACCGCGACGAGCTCCCTCCGCCAGAGCTCAGATTGATCCCCATGATGTTCGGGTGCTGGTTTCTTCCCGCAGGCTTGTTTGCTTTTGCCTGGTCCTCGTACCCCCACGTATCGTGGGCTGGCCCTTGTTTCTCCGGCTTCGCCGTTGGTTTCGGCTTCCTTTTGCTCTACAACCCAGCTAACAACTACATCGTGGACTCCTACCAACACTATGCCGCATCGGCCTTGGCGGCCAAGACCTTTGTGCGTTCTGTCTTTGGTGCATGCGTGCCTCTTTTCACCATTCAAATGTACCATAGGTTGGGCTACGAGTGGGCGACCTCCTTGATGGCTTTCATTTCGTTGGCATGCTGCCTCATTCCGTTCATGTTTTTCAGGTACGGCTTGAGAATCAGGAAGTTCTCCAAGTACGCCTACGACGGCTAAGGTTCGGGTAGAGTCTGCGGCGCGATGGTCGCGGACGGGCTTCATACATATTTATTTTCCATCAAGCTTGCTTATATATAATAATGAAATACAGGTATTCGTATCTTTTGGAACGCCGGCGTATCTCTTGCGCCGTCTCGTTGTTGGCCGGGGTTTCCGAAGCGACTTTAAGGTGTAGCTTCGAGCTCAGATATGAACAGATGTCACTCACAGATTAGTATTGGTATATAATAAAAAGGTCCTCGAAGCCAGAAGATACCGTTTGAACCCGCAATGGGTATTCGCAATATCTTGCATTTCCAAATACTGCAAGCATCTAAATATCAAACGGTATATAGCATGCTTGTTACCAAAACGGTGTATTACATGCTCTCCACCCAAAACCCGTCGCGCCTCCACGCGATACGCCTCTCAATGTAAACAGTATCTGAGGCGCGCCCTACCCCATGTTTTCATCCAGCAAATAGCTATCTTTCGACATCGGCCAGGGTAAGCCGGGAAACATGAATCCAATGAAACGGCCAGATGAATTCGAAATGTTCCACCAGCGTCGCAAAAGGCCGCCGTTGGCTGAGGTAGGAAATACGAATACAACGCCTCACCGGCCATTGCGGCCGATCAATCACAATAGGCAAAACACAGTCTCCAGCAGCAAGGACCTGCGGAGTAATGAAACCCTCAAGAATATCAATATTTTCTCTTTGCGGGACAAGCATTTCTCTTTCAAGCCGCCCGCAGGTTCGAAGGCCCTCCACGGAAACAAAGAAAATTTGCATCCGCTCAGTTTCACCTCCACAAGTCCTGGCCCCGGTTCGTTGTCAGATAACTCAAAGATGCTCCAGAAAGCCCGTGAAATGTATAGAAGAAAAGAGGTCAGTCGAAAAGAACGAGAAAATCTCACTGGGCTTGAAAGAACCACTCGGCAATCTCCGCTGTCGATTCCACTAACGCGGATTGGTCACTTGCTCTCGGGAAGAAAACTGTTTCCTCTGGCAACCGAATCACATCTGCAAACCACTTCAGTAATGCCCTCAATCAGGTATTGGCTAGACGCTCCTCAATTGAATAAGCCAAGCTTCCATTATAGGTTCATGCAGAGCCTCGTGGATTACAACAGCCATGTAGAACAGAGCAATCTGGCGATTCGTTCCCTCCTTGTCCTGGCCAAATTCGCCGATTCGACAACCAATCGAAAAATACAGGCAGATGAACCTGTTGGCTCTCGTTACGGTCAAGACTCTCTGTGCTCACTAACTGACGACATGAACTGGGTTGCTCTTTCCCGAGTCACAGAGCTAAGCCCATTTCTTTTAGCGGCGACTACTTCTGAGGGTGAAGACATCCTCCTAATGAATACCCATGAGGCTGACATAACTGCAGGCAGCAAGATCAGTCTTGAGGATTGTTATACATATGACTTGAGTGGGGTACCAACAAAAGCGTACTACAAGTGGCAACTTCTTCATTGAAACATACGATGGAAGGAACATGCATGACAGTGTAGAATTCAAAGCCAGCTTTAAGAGAATACCTACTCAGCCACTCTCGTCATACTTTAGTTAGAGACATGGGTAAAATGCTCATATTTACGAAGTATCTCCTCGAGTCACGTTTTTCTCACAATCAAACGTCTGTGGAAAAGCTTCTGAATCCAGGCCCGACCGATGTCAAATCCTAGCATTCTATTACCATTGCTTCGTTTCTGGTACTTGCTTTTCTTTTTTGATCTAAGTCATGCTTTCATGAACTGGCCGCCACTAAATGAACCGATTCGATATTGAACCTATGTCATCACCCAACACCTGACCTGGGTTTGAAGGCAACCTCTTATACTACCAGATTACTTATCAACCTTGTATATTTTATCAGGTTTTATACAAATATTTATACATTAGTGAATTAGAATACAACAAAAGAAACATACATTTTTGCTCACTGCCCAAAGAGAGGCTTAATCCAGGAATCAAAGTTCCCAACATGCATATTTACTTTTGGGCATGTGCATCGTGATTGAGCTCCAATATGATTTCACTCTGGCATGCAGTCAAATGCAATCTCGCCATAGCTAGCGCTTCGGATATTTGATCTTAACAAAGAACGAGCCAGCCGTATCACGGAATGAAGTGACCATCCCTGGAGGCGCTGGCGCTTTGTAATCTGGGTTTTTGACCTGGGAGCGGTTGATGATTAGCTCATTGTATCCATAGATAGCTGGAACCCCCAAATCAATTCCGCCAGGAAGCACACTGGAAGGCATTGGCGTGCGAAACGTTTTTGGCATGTCCGAAAGATCAGGCAACGTGGTTTTGACTCCCCTTCCAGAATGGAGAGCACTTCTCCTGGAGGCCGTTCCGCGACTCAGACCCTGCGATGCGAACAGATTAGGTATATTCTCGTTGTAGCTGAAGGTATTTTCATTGTTGAAATGTCTTCTTCTCCTGCGAGATTCGCGCTCCATTTCTTTATCTAGCTTCTCAATTTCCAGTTGTGAGAGCTTAGTCATAGCTGGCGAGTACTCGGCAAGCAGAGCTGGGTTTCTCAAAGTTGTGACGAAATCTTCTGATTGTCCCTGTCCCGGCTCGGAATTGATTATTCGCAACGGTGGGGCCAAGTTAGATTTGATTTCTTCTTCGCGAATCAGGGATCCGTCAAAACTGTATCCAATTAAGAACAAGGCTTTATTATGGAGTTGAGTTTGTTCTCTAATGCTGAAGGCAATAGAAGTCGCGAATTCACCCGGCAAACACATTTCATCACAAAGAACAGTGGCAAATTCTTCAGGGTCGTTGTCTTGGGCATTGAGGATATCCCATTCGAATTGATCTGTGAACTGAGTGTTATTGATCAAAAGATCTATCTTTATCGGCACTCGAATTTCACCCATACTTTTCTCTGGCTTTGCTTTGTAGTCCTTTATTTGCTCGGTGATTGCCTGGTAAACGTTGTGGAAATGGCTCTCGGAAATGAATTTGTAATCCTCAATCAAGAGCTTCACGAAATTTTCGAGGGGCAACGTTTCATCATTGAGATCCCACAAGAACGTGTCGCGGAGTTTGAAGCGGTCTCTCTCCTGGTCAAAATCCAATCTGATGGGAACAAGATGGCGGGGCTTTCGCGAGGAGTGGGCTTTCCTGACCAAGGCGCTGATTTCCGCGTCTGTCCAACGAACATCCGGAACTTTCAGAAATGATTTGTTCTGTGCGGGAAGAATCACCTGGGTAGCCGTGTTGCTTATGCCGTTCCCGTAGCCCAGGTAGCCTTCACCCCAGATGCTGTTGTTGAACTGGTTCTTTGCGGACGCAGCAATGGACGCCATTCGGAGCTGCTTGATTGCATTGTAACTCTTGATATCGCGAGACATTTGGGTGATCAATTCCTTGTTCATCATATCTTGGTGCCCAGCGGCACGCAAGAACGCATCGTCTTTCTTTATCACTTCCTCATAGAGCTTCACCTCCAAGGGGACCTCTGTGCCAGATGCTTTCAACTTCTCAGACCACTCTGTGAGAGAGCTCATTGGCCTCATCGCGACTTTCGACAAAGAGTCCGGGGCGAAGCCAGGGGGAAGTTCCACCTTTTCTAGGGCCAACTCTGTGCCGTGTGGGGCGGTTTTGGGCTTCACTTGAGAACGCGGCGTTGGAAGAACGGCCTTTCCGAGTAGAGAAGCTGCCTCTAGCCCGCCTGGGCCGTGAGCGCCATTGAGGTGGCTCCTATTGACGGCGGCAGCAGCCGCCGCAGCAGCAGCAGCGGCCTGCGACATGTTCTGCGGGCCAGGGCCGTCTATCTGGAGAGACTGTGGATCGTGAGGGCGCTGTGCGAGTCCCTGCTGAATGAACGACGGGTTGGCAATCTGCAGGTTGTGAGGCACGCCCGACCCAGCCAGCCGCAACTCGGCCATGCCGCTCATTGTGCCCGGGGCCTGTCTATGCATGACTGCCGGGGTAGCGCTTGCGCTGGGCGGGGCGTTCTGTATGTTTTGCGCGTTTTGCTGCTGGAGCTGCTGCATCCGCTGGAGCTGCTGTTGACTGTACTGCTGGTGGCCCATGGCTTGCTGGTTGATTGGCTGAGCCACAGGCATGTGCCCGATTTGCAGCGGATGGCCCGTCTGCTGCGTCGTGTACGCCAGCTGCTGTGTCTGGTGAAGGGCCTGCGTCAGGCCCTGGGGAGCCAGGACCGACTGTGCCCGCAGCTGGATCACATTATGCGCCTGTTGCTGCTGTTGCTGTCGATGAAGTTGTTGTTGTTGTTGTTGTTGTTGTTGTTGTTGTTGTTGTTGTTGTTGTTGTTGGTGCTGTTGGTGTTGGTGTTGTTGTTGTTGTTGTTGCTGCTGTTGCTGTTGCAAAAAAGCAGCTTGCACGTTCTTATTGTACATTTGCTGCTGGGCCATGCCGGACTGCCCCATGCCCATCTGCTGCATTGCATGGGTGTTGTTTTGCGGGCTCATGGACGGCTTGAAGCCGGCCGAATCCGGCCCCTGCGCCAAGTTGACGCTGGGCGACAAGTCGGCCGCATTAGAGCCGAGCGTCGGGCTCATGCCCTGGCCGAGGCCCGGGGCAAGCCCCGGGCCCATCCCGGGATTCAAGGCCTGACCGGCGCCCAGGCCCATTGCCAAGGCCCCATTCTGTGGGGGCGCCTGGCCCGCGGCCATCATGCGCTGCTGCATCATCTGCTGCTGCTGCATCATCTGCTGCTGCTGCATAATCTGCTGCCGCTGCAAATACTGGCGGAGCATGTTCTGGAACTGCGGCTGGTTCTTGAGGTCCTGGAGCTGCTGAGGAGTGAGGTTCTGGAACTGCGGCGGCAACATCGCCATTTTCTGTCTGTGGCGGGCGGCCGCGGCGGCATATTGTTCCTGCTGCTGCTGCTGTTGTTGCTGCAGCAAGCGCGGCGGGTGTGCGTTGGGCGTGTTCTGGCCACTGTTGGAATTGAAATTCATGGTCTAGGAGTGGGTGGAGGCTGGGGCGACCTAGCCAGCAAGCAGATGGCGGCGGAGGGTCGGTCCTGGGGGTTTTCCAGCAGCCTAGAATACAGGGTTCTGTGGGTGTTCGAGGGGTCCCGCAGCGTGGGACGGCTAGGCTATAGGGAGAAACGTTGGTGATTGCCCCGCCTTGCGAGTGTTTTTTGTTGTTCTGGGGTCGCGATATGTTGGTGCGCGCACGACCGCGCCCTGGCCGTGGACTGGGCCGGCCAGCTTGTGGGCAGTGCCGAGTGCCAATGTGGGAACGCGATGGCCGATGCGATGGGAAAATTGGGGCCTGGCTAAAACAACCAAGCAATCAGAACATCATGACGAGGCAAAGCGTGCGGTCTCACGGGAGAAGCAGAAAACAGGTGCAGATGATTTACCGCGCTAGCGAGACGGGAACCCGGGGTTTCGAGACTGGCGGTCACGTGCAAGGCGGTTTGGGGCCAAGGCTGGGGCGATCGTCAAACAGCGTGTCACGGCCATCTTATGGCGGACTTGGGGTGACTTTTCCTGGGTCATAAGTACATTCATGAGAAGCTGCTTAAAGGTTTTTTATATATATAATTTATAAAGCTTTGCTCCTTTACTCAGATGAACCTGCCAAAAAAAAAAGAAGAAAAAAAATTGGAGGGTTTTGTTGTTTGGGTTGACTGGTGGGTGAGTTGACTGGTGTGCGTTGACGGGTGTTGTTCATTAATAGGTTACATGGGTTTGATGGTTGTGACTTTGGCTATTATGGTGAGCCTGAAATTCATTGCGAGTCTGACAGTTCTTGTGGGTGGGATTTTGGTTTTCATGCTCAGTTTGACTGCTATGGCTAAATGTAATTTGATGATTTCTGAACAATTCACTGATGTTGTAATTTTGACCGGGATTGTGTGGTTTCTATTATTGCGCGTTTGTTGACGCGTCCGCCTTGTATTGTAAGCTAAGATTATATTGTGAGCGTTTTTATTGTGAGCGTTTTTCTCGTAAGCACTTTTATAGTGAGCTAGACTATGCCGGGAGTCATCAGAAATTGGGCTTGACGACTGGTCTTGTTTCAGTTACTATCAGCCCGACTGTTATTGCGGTTGTCATGGTGAGCTTGACGATTACTGTGTGTCTGCCTATTGCTGTAGCTTGCCTATTACCACAAGTATGACTGCTGGGCTCACCCACAGCTCTAAATAATACATCCAGTTTCTACTGTTAATTCGACTGCTACTGCAAGTTTGACCACAATTCTCAGTTTGGCAATCATTCGGGGTTTGGTCAGCCAGGGTGCTGGTGTGCCGGAACCTGCGCCGCACGCAATTTTGCACCCATTCTGTATTGCAACATATGTCCCATGTGCTCCAAATGACCAATCACTAAAAAGTCTTACTCACTCCTTTTCACACCTTGCTGGGTATTCCGATCATACAGACTCTTTTTTGCAGTGACCCTCCAGATTGTATGTGGCTGCATGGCCCAGTGCTCGCTTCCCCACTGCGAGCACCTGCGGCCGCTTTGCCCATAGGCCTTCTTCTCTTTTCTCGACGTATTTTGTTTTTCCATCCCCTTGCTTCGTATCGGTCCCAGATTTTGTGTTAGCAACTATCTGCGAAAAAAAACCGTTTCTTCGCCTCGCTCAATAAATACGTCGCTATGTCCTTGCTAGAACCAGACCAGGCAGTGCCCGACTTCCCACAAAACCATGCTTCAGACTTCGTCACCGAGTTCTACGCTATCCGTTTTGCGTCTTCGAATGCCCGCCAAATGGCCCGCCATTTGGAGTTGGCTTTTGATTTCCGGGAAATCGCCTACCGCGGCTTGGAAACCGGCGCCTTGTCGGTGGCCAGCCACGTTTTGCAATGCAATGACATTGTGATGGAATTCATGAACCCACTTGACTGCCCTGTCCCGGAATCCCGCCGCTTGTGCATCCTGCCGCCATCGTCACCCCTTCTCTCGGCCACCGAGGCCTTGCTCCATGATCACCCCCAAAGTTCGGCCGTGGCAGAACTGTGCTTGCAGTCTCCCAAAGTACGCAAACACGTTTCTCTGTACCTCAGCCATGACAAGTCGGTGGCGGCCACCCGGCAGGTGCTCTTTGACCATACAACAGCCTCGTTCTTGGCTGATTTCATCAACCTCCACGGCTTGGGTGTGTGTGACATTCTCTTCAAAGTGACAGATGTCAAGGCTCTTTTCCAGCACTCGGTGGAAAACGGCGCCGTTCCCGTAAACCTGCCAAGAACCGAGACTGACCAAAACGGCTCTGTGATCACAGCCACCATTGCGCTCCCTACAGCAGACCTACACCACACGTTTGTGCAAGTTTTGGACTACACGGGAAAATACTTACCGGGATACGGAGGGCCCAGCACACGTGCCATCTCCAGTCTATACTGTGGTATACACCTCCAGGCCATTGACCATTGTGTGCTCAACTACTCGTGGAACCAAATGACGCCAAACGCCACCTTTTATGCCCTGGCCCTCGGGTTCCATAAATTCTGGTCCGTGGATGATAAAGACGTGTCAACTGGAAACACCGGGCTTCGCCTGATGGTCATGACCAACAAAAACGGAAATGTCAAGATTCCCATCAACGAGCCTGCAAAAGTTAAACTAAAAGGGCAGATCGAAGAATTTTATGATTTCTATGGCGGGCCAGGCGTACAGCATGTGGCACTTAGGTCCACAGACATCTTGAACGATGTTCTGTTCCTACGCTCGAGAGGCTTGGAATTCAACACCATCAGCGACGAGTACTACCGCATCTTGAAAAAGAGGCTCGATGATCACCAAATTACACTTGCGGAGAGTTTCTCAGCTTTGCGAGAAAACCACATTTTGGTGGACTTCGACCCCGAAAGTAAGATGGAGAGGTCTGACGGCTCATTTTCGTGCTTCTACATCCTCCAGATTTTCAGCAAGCCCTTGCATGACCGTCCCACCTTCTTCTTTGAGTTTATCCAGCGGCACGAGCACGATGGTTTCGGTAAAGGAACATTCAAAGGGCTTTTTGAGTCGATAGAGAGAGAGCAGGAGCTACGTGGTACATTGGGCACTACCCACTCTGAGGTTGCTAACCAAGTCTAGATTAAATAAAAAGCGTATTTGTTCACATGCTCATGTCATGAAATCGAAAAGCGACTTATAGCTGACGTAACGACGCCCACATACACTCAAGTATTGGTCAACCACACTTCGGTAATGATCGAAAGATCCCCTGTTCTGCTCTGCAAGCGCATTTACTTCTCCGCTGGTCATTTCAGCCAAATCGCGCTCTTCGCTTATTGGTTTCAACTGTTTCTTCTTGGCCTTGTCAACATCGAAAATCGCGTCGAAGTAGAGCAATTGATTGTAGAGAGCTTTATCACTGTAATTGTAGCGCATGACACCTTTGCACCCATGAGCCGTTCCTGAAGAGCCAATACAACGCTTACCGTACACCGATATTTGTCTTGTCTTGATTCCACATGCAGAATCATCACACACCAACCAACCAGCATAATAAAGGGCTAGATGCCTTTTTATCTCAATCTCTAGCTGTATTGAGATCTTAAGGAGCGAAAACAACGCATCACACTTCGAGCAGACGATTCCGTTGAATGTCACTCGGTAATCTGACGAAAACATGATTCCTCCAAACCTAAATTGGTGTCCACATTTGCACTTTAAGACCAAGAAACTGACTTGCCTGAATCTTTCAACGTCTGTGACATTCGATTCCAAAGGCGAAACATCTAAGTCCAATCCCTCTGAGTTCCGGAGTCTCATGACATATTTCTTAGAGTCTATGCCAAGAGATGTGGCCACACGCATTAAGTCAACACCGTCAATCTTATTCAAAAGACGTTCCACAGGGGCATATATTTGCTTTTCCAAGTAATAGTCGCAATCAGGCTTGAATGATTCCTTATTGCTCAAGACTTCTTGAATTGGACGAGCCCTCAGAGCAGGGTTACCATCATCTTCAGCATTAACAGGGGCAGTGATGATGAATGTTACCACGCTTCCCGCTTTCACAACCTTTCCTTGCTTCCGGAGCCTGAGCGCTACTTGGACAGAAGGCATAGACTTTCCGTTTGGATAGCTTGTCGGGTCTTTGGATAAACGAGTATTTATCGAGAATTTGTCGATAGAGAGCTCGTTGTCTCTGATCTTTTTGTTCATACTTTCCAAGTACTCATAGACCTCAGTTAGTGCCTCTTCTGGATCCATATCCGAGAGAAGCTTCTTTAAGACAAACGTGGAGATATCTTTCGAGGCTTGGCAATACTCACGTCTTCTCATATCGAGACCTTTAACCTCCAAAGACAAGACTTCCTTTCCAGTTTTCTTGTCTATGCTTACATTCATTGCAGCATACTTTTTCTTCGCATGAAGAAGTAATCTCTTGAAGACATTATCAGTGTCAATCTCCAACAATTTGTATCTCTCATTCACTTGTACCTTGAACTCATCACCGATCTTCAATGCTTCCTGAAATGAGGAAGCACCTGTATCTATCATAACAGAGTCAGTATCACCATACACGACTCTTAATCCAATCAGTTCAGCTAGTTGTCTGGTATCCATCAAAATCTCACGACCTTTGTTTGTCACTAACATGGCCAAAGGTTTGGCATAAAACCTAGAGTTCACATAGCCCAAACATCCATACATAGAATTGGCTGTTAACTTTAAGGCTTGTTGCTTGATGTCATATTGTGCACGCTCGCTGCTTGAAATTCTTGAATCTTTGAGAAGTTTTTTCACTTCACGACGCCGAGAAACCAATGTATTAAGGAGTCTTGGTAACACACCAGCTTCAGAGTCTCTTTCTGGAATATCAGGCATATCCTTATCTTCATCATGTGAGATATTGTATGCATCTCGCAACACTGTTGTGAAGCAGATATTGAATTCTTGAATAATGCTTGGATACAACGAGTTAAAATCCATGACCAAGATGTAGTTTTTGTGCAAGCCTTTCTCCGGCTCGAAAACCAAACCACCTTGATACTTAGGTTTCTTGTTTGAGGTAACTGTAGTTGCATCATCCTCAGCGGCCTCAAGCTTCGCTTCCTGCTGGTGATTGGTATTTTTGTGATACTTATCTTCCTTATCAGGCACAACGTAGTTATTCTTTTTGAACTCGTGTAGTAGAATAAACTCATTGCGACCAGCTCTTGTACCTGACAATGTGTGAGACCAAGCATTGCCAGCCAAATTAGTGAGTTGCTTGGAAAGCGACAATATTTGAACAGCAAAAGAAATCTTGGCCGTAATTAACACTTGAGTTATGTTTTCTTTCAATGGCATGAGCAAAAAGCTAGCATCTTCGGCATATCGAGGATTGTGGAAGTTGATTTCAGGAGACACGTGCTTTTCATGACAAACCACCTCGTACATTTCAGGCAAATCCCACGACTGACATTTTGAAGTGAGAGATTGACCTAATTCATTTGCAATATCACATAATAGACGGCCCTGAAAGATCTCTCTGATGATTAGATTATTGTTGAATCCAGTTCCTTTTCCAAATTTGTCTGGCCACAGCTTCCTATTTCTCCTTCCCATGGCAGACCAGGTAGCGACCCTCAAGTCATGCATTCGATGAACTAAGACATCCAATGAAATATTTTCTAGCCTGTGGCCCACAATTACATCAGGATCAATATTCTTGATAAGCGCGGCCATACACCCAAGCATGGATGCTTCATTCGGGAGTGTTTTCACGTTCAAGCTATGCTTTTCTGCTGTCTGCCGAAGTCCAGGGGGAAATACGCTAGCTCCGATAGGACGAACCAAAGTAAGAAGTTCTTCAGGCTCTTTTCCTTCATCCACAGGAGAATCTTGTGGAACATTTTTATAAGTTGCCAAACTAATACATGCCACCTCCTGTTTATTTTGTTTCACATTCATAATCGTCTGAACGGAAATTGTCACAGTTGTCAAGCTTGGAGGAGCTAAGGGAGTGTTGACAAGTGGGGTCACACAATCAGCTGAAGCAACCGACACCTCGACCTGGCAATGAGATGCGTTCTTAATTGCTTGGAAATCACCATTTTTGATTTCTAACCAACAAGGTCCCATGATGTTGCGCTGCAACACGAATGACTCAAAAATGTTTGCGTTTGTGCCAAAAATTCTCTGGAATGTTTCACCCTCAATCTCAGCTGGCATGACTAAGTTCCTGTTTCTATTGGTCTTGAAAGGCAAAAGTATTTTTAAGTAATCGGCTTCTTTTGGAACGCCTGGCAACTCAAAAGCATACTTTAATTTTTCTGGCCTAGCGCGGAGCTTGTCTAAGCCGTATTGTTGAATAAGAATTGGAGCAAGTTCTTCATGCACATCCTTCATTTCTACTGGCTGGTTGGTTTCTTCCGAGTCGACAACTCGAGATTCTCTGGGCAACACAAAGAGTTCTTTGTATAACCCGTTAACTTGAACAACAGCAGAAACACAGGAGCCATCTTTCGACAACACTTTTCCGAAGAGAAGAAGAGTGCTATCCGCTTCAGCGTAATCCAACCAGAACATCTTGAATGAGCCGTCATCAACGACATTCTCACTCGACAATTTTTCTGTTTGCGAGATTGATGCGTACGTGGGCATACCAGAAGAAGATGCTAATCTAGTAGAGACCAGAATTTCTGAGGTCTTGACAGCAGAGACATTCACTGGACCAGATTTTGGTGCAGCCACCGCCGTTTTTGGTCTTCTGCGAACAACAATCTCGTCATCGTCATCGCTTTCGTCGTTGTTGTCCACATCGGGAGTTTCTGCCTTAGGTGACGTAGTGAGAGATTGGGTGACTGAACCAGTTTCCAAGTCTAAGGGCTCTGTCGGTTCAAGCTCATCCACCACATCAGATTGCAAGCTGGAGCTGACATTTGCGTTTACTTGGGAAGCCGAATCTAGGCCATCAGAATGTGCTGAGGGTTCCGTCTTGAAATTCTTCGATACCGAAGGGGGCTTGACCTTTTTAGGCTTTGCCGTTGAAGATGTGAAGAAGCCGAACGCAGAGGCAGTGGACTTTTTAGGCTTGCTTGTGGTGGATCCGAAAACCTTTTGCTTCTTCGTTGATTTGGGTGAATCAAAGTCGTCCAAGATGTCGTCAATGCTAGCCTTTGCTTCAGTCTTGATCTTTGGTTTTGGAACAGAATCCGCGGTGAAAAAGCTGTTAATATCTGTAGTGGTGGACACTTTCGCTATTTTTTTCTGTGGTTTCTCCCGTTTTCGTTTCTTCGTGCCGGGTTCTTCTTCGTCGGAGTAGTAATTCGGCCGTGTAGATTCGTCCCACTCGTCACCACCATTATCAACATATCCCTCACCATTGTCATCCACGATAAAATCATCGTTCATGAGCTGTTCACGCTTCCGCTGGCGAAATTCATCCTCATCAACCTCGTCATAGATCGACGCGTCTTCTTCGTCCGAAGAGTGGGCCACAATGGTACCGGTACGGCGTGCCTCGAGGAGCCTTTTGAATTTATCTGATTTGGTGGCTCGCGACAGCATTTCCAAATTTGTTTATATATAGAAGAATGGCTTAAAAGAGCCGGTTTCTTTGTTCCAGACCTCTGAGTGTGTGCTTTCGAGGGAAACTTTTTGCTGGATTCAGCCCGCAGCTGGCGATAGACGCGCAGAAACACACGGTCACGTGATGACTCGACTCGCGTCGCGTCGCCCAGCTATCGCGTCCAAAGGCTGCAAAAACGAGACCGTAGACGCCGTGAGTCCATCAGCATGAACAGTTAATCGGTTTTATCACATCAAAATCTTTGGATTTCTCATGGCCTATTGTGGCATTTCCGGTACGAGAGTTAATTTTTCAAAAAGGAGCCACCCAATCCGTTGACTTTGAGATAGTGGTGGTTGTAGGTAGCAAAGGAAAAATCCGTTCCCTATTTCACTTGTGAGTGATGTTATTATACACTTGGTGGTCTTGGAAAAGAAGCTGTAATTTAGTCTTTATACCCGGAAGTTAAACAATGTTGAATACGTGCTCATCGTATAAACGCGACGCGTCTGCTGGGAGTGTTTTGGGAATTCCGACTGGTTGACATGAATACTTGAAGACAGATTGCGATTTTCTAGTCAACCTAAGTGAAAAGAGAAATAGCAAATGTGTTTGTTCCGCTATCGCAGGGAGGAATGCGGATATGGGGAGGTCCAACAAATTCGGTCGAAATGAGGTACGGGTTTCGAAGGATGTCGTGCGTCTTTTGCCATATCATTTCAAGCACTAATATTTTTCCTGGACCTGCGTCGTTGTTGTTTTCGCAATCTAAAAACTTGAAGTTAAGTCACAGTGGCCCAACGGCTTCAAGGGTACGTCCCATCACAGCATTTGCAGTCACACACTGTATTAGATTATTCTTTTGGCCAGCCAATTGACACGAATGTTCTTAAACATACACACGGGCTGGCCCGGTTCAATCTAAATCTGAATTTAGCCACGCCTTGCTTAAAAACCTAGACTTAAGAGTGACCAGGCTAAGGAAGTGCTGGGATGGATTTGCGGAAAACTTCCGACAGTTGATGAGAAGAATTGCTTCTATGTTAGACAATGCGAAGTAGCAGTGAACTGTAAGTTGGAAATTTTGGATGGAAGCTAGTTCCGGACTCATTTATTCGGAATCTTTTTTTGACCCACAAAACTCGCCACTTTACTATTCTTTATGATTGCCTCAAACAAATTACTCTACGTTTGTTTGTCCGAGCCGTCATCCATACACCCGTGCATCTCTAATATGGGCAACCCCAGGATTTATGAACATGCGTGTGTTATCGCACGCACCAGAACAAAGTGTCCACCCAGCTCTATTTGAAGACACCATGTCATTTGCTAACTACGACTTGGAGGCCCAGACAGATGACTTGCTGAAGCGTGGCTTGCTTCTGGCCAAACCAAAAGATGCTGGCCCTTCAAATTTGGACACTATCATACAGAACACATCTCATCAAATTGAGACTTATGGTCTGCTTGTGGCCTCTTTCAACAACGAGAAACGTCTTTTGGGCAGCAGGCGTGATGGAAGACCGCTCAGAGATAAACTATCAGCCACCCAGCAGAACATAATGTCTCTAGGTTCAGCGGTCCGGAAGTTAATTGCCGACGTCAACTCAGTCATGAGCAGTTCCGGCAGCACGGACAATGATGTCATTGTTTCAAATCGTCAACATATGATGAAAGACCGACTTATCAGTGAATTCGATGAGCTCGAAAAAAGCTTCGAGCAATCTGCGAGATCCTATGCAGAAAAGGCCGCTAGCATCCCCCTTCAGGTGTCAACAGGCACTGCTAATTTCAACGAGTCCTCTCCGCTCCTTTCAATTAGTACCAATAACCGAGATTCTAATCAAGAGCATATTCAGGTTCAGGAAACCGAGCAGAAGATTGACGAGACCGAACTACAGTATCATGTGTTGCTCACCGAGGAAAGGAATCGTCAGATCGAGCAGGTGGCAGAGGGCATTCGCGAGGTGAATTCCATATTCAAAGATTTAGGAGAGCTTGTTAACCAGCAGGGCGAGCAACTTGATACAGTTGAGGAAAATGTCTTGCAAATGAGTGGGAATGCACATGACGCTTCGCGTGAGCTCACAAAGGCGCACGAATACCAAAAGAGACGGAGCAAATGGAGATGCATCTTGCTTGTAGCACTCTGTGTGGCTGCGCTAATAGTTGTATTGGCAGTCATCAGCTGAGAAACTGCTCTCTGTACGCAATCTGGAGTCAGATGTTCTAATATCAGAAACCACGTGTTTGGAGTCACCTCTCATCATTGATGCGGCTATATGTCTTGATAAGCACATTGGCTTTTTTGAGCTGGGGAATCTATAAAAATTGGGAAGGTCCTTGCAGCAGCAGGATGCATCGATTTCAATGGCCATCAGAGCTAATTCCAATGTATAGGGGATGATAAAGACCACATTGAATCTATTGCTTATTATCTGACCTAACTGAAGCTGGAATCAATCTGGGGCGAAAACTATTGCAGAAATGCCAAATTGATATTGCATAATGAAACACCTTTCTCTCAAGAAATCTTTCAGCTCTTGATCATACTAAATGTCTACCACTTTCAAGACAGTTACCATCTAGACAAACATCCAAGTGAAAACGAGGTATGCGTCTGCAATATCATAGACTTTTCTTGCTGTTTGAACAATGGCGCACGAATAATTTTTGGTAAGAAATCTGGTGCTCAGAGTCACATGAAAAGTGTATCGCTGCGTCGTCAAACACCCGCTGGGGCTTAAACCTTCATTTTGGAGTATCAATATGTACAACTGGAGCTAGCCTAGCGGGGATGCATAGGTCTGGTAAAGCTGGATGTGTGTGTTTACAATGGAGTCCTTTCTAACATCAGGCTAGCACGGGACTTTTCTTTTGGGGGCGAGCCTTGAAAAGTCATTGAAGGCTGCACTGTACACATGTGGAAGACACCAGGATAATTTTGATGATGCATTCTAGTCAACGGTGAGGCTGCGAAGCATCTTGCAAGAATCAATAAAAAACCAGTTTATGTTTCGAGATTCTGAAGATCGATAGCTCAAAGAAGCTATAGCCTGTCGACTTAAATTGGCCATTTCACCATATTTCCCGCTACAATCAGCATCCTATACTTGTGCTTCCGAAAAGTATGTGCAAAAAATGGGAATTGCATGCAGCTTTCTTTCTCCGTTAAGATGTGTGCTACGATCGCATGCAAACATGTCATCATTACATTTCACCAAAGTTTGATGGACTTGAAGAAGTTTCTTTTAATATGCGGTGACATCAGATTCCCCTCTGAGAGCTGGAATGTCTGGGTGTCTGGAAAGCTCGTTCTTTGTTCCAAGGTACCTACGGAATGGAGAATTCTGTACGCTGACTGAATCCATGTTTGCCCAATTTCGACCTTGAGATCTGCTCCCAAAGACCAAGCTTTGCTTATTACGGTTAATTCTCAAACGTATATTCGAAAGAATTTTTGAGTGATTTGACGTTACGGTCATGAGCCGAATGGCCATGTATTAGTATGAACATGACCGTGCTTGGGCGCACAGGTGGTCGCGATTTTTTTGCATGCCAGTGCCAACCAAAACTTCGCTCGCCTTGAATCCAACAGCATTCAGCTTCCCTTGAGCCGGGCCTTTTTCTTCTCACCCGAACTATGTCAACACCTGAATATTCATCTGCCCACGACTTCTTTGCACCCAAAGTTTATCTGAAGCATCTCCAGATCATGGTGCACGGATGTTCGTGTGGTCGCGCTCGTGGCTCACTACTGACATGGGGCTCAATATGGGCGCCCGCTCTTCTCGCACAAGCCACTTCAAACACGGCACCATCAACTCTGTTTGGCTCCTGATTTCGTGGCTTATATACCAGCTACCTCCAGAAAAGGCCTACAGGAAAAAAAAGCAGCACTGGGTAGCACTTTAACCCCACTTCTCTGTTTCGGGCCCCACTCTTACGCTAGCCTCCATACACCATGGAAACGCCACGGAATCTGCTGCAGACTCCCGAGCCGCACCAGCAAATCCACCAGAGACTCCGATCCAGTGATACAGGTGAATGGCTCCACCAGCAGCGCGTGCGTGCCGTGCAAAAATTCGACTCGTTTGTCACAATTGACTGGATGGACGATGAGTTGGAGGAACACCGCCAGCGGTTGGCAAAGAGACGCCATGCAAAAACCATGCGTGAGCAGCTAGTCGATTTCTCGCGCACCTGGGTGGTGCTTGCAGCCATCGGGGTCGCAATTGGCGCCATAGCAGCGTCCTTGAACGTAATCACCGCGTGGCTAGCTGCGCTCCGTTTCGGCTACTGCTCGTCACAATTCTACCTCAGCAAAGCCTTCTGCTGCTGGGTGGCGCCAGACGCAGAGGGCTCGTGCACGGACTGGTCTATGTGGCTGCGCTTTGCAGTGTTGCGGTACTTCGTGTACCTTGTTTTCCTGGCGCTTTTCCTGGCCGTGGCGGCGCTTTTAGTCAAGGTATATGCGCCGTTCGCCGCGGGCTCCGGTATATCCGAAATCAAGTGTATTGTGTCGGGGTTCGTCATGAACGGCTTTTTGGGCTGGGCAACGCTTGCCATCAAGAGCTTGGCCTTGCCTTTGGCCATTGCCCTGGGACTCTCGCTCGGCAAAGAGGGCCCCTCGGTCCACTACGCCGTGAGCGTGGGAAACTCGGTGTCGGGCTTGTTCCGCCGCTACCGTGAGTCTGCTTCCATGTCGCGTGAATTCCTAACTGCCGGCGCGGCGGCGGGCGTGGCTGTTGCGTTTGGCTCGCCGATGGGAGGGGTACTATTTTCCATGGAGGAGATATCTTCCGTCTTCCAGCTCCCCACGCTCTGGAAGTCATACGTGTGCTCTTTTATTGCCGTCGCCACGCTAGCTGCATTCAATCCGTTTCGGACGGGGCAACTAGTTTTGTTTGAGGTCACCTACGATACCTCGTGGCACTTCTTCGAGCTTCCGTTCTACGCATTGTTGGGGGTGTTTGGCGGGCTCTACGGAATCACCGTGTCCAAGTTGAACAAGCGCGTGACAGGTTTCCGAAAGACGTATTTGGCTGACTACGCCGTGCGCGAGGTAGTCACGTTGGCAGTCTTTACTGCTATGTTTTGCTACTTCAATGAGTACCTCAAAGTTGACATGACTGAAGCAATGCAGATGTTGTTTTCTGAATGTCTGTCAAACTCCACTAATGCTTTATGTGACCCGAAATCTAGTAAGTCAAAGCTAATAGCCTCTTTGCTTTTTGCTACCGTTGCTAGACTGTTCTTGACTGTGGTCACGTATGGCTGCAAGGTTCCAGCGGGTATCTTTGTGCCGTCGATGGCTGCGGGTGCAACTTTCGGGAGGGCAATTGGAATTTTGGTGGAACACTTGAACAATAAGTTTGAAAACCTGCTGTTCTTCGCCTCGTGCCCGGAGGAAGGACCATGTGTCATCCCGGGTACATATGCTCTAATAGGTGCTGGTGCTGCGCTTAGTGGCATCACTCATTTGACAGTGACCGTAGCTGTCATCATGTTCGAGCTCACGGGTGCCGTGAAGTATATCATTCCGACAATGGTGGCTGTTACCATCACCAAACTTATCAATGATAAATGGGGCCAAGGAGGCATTTCTGATCAGATGATTGTGTTCAACGGCCTCCCCTTCATAGACTCCAAGGAAGAATTTATTTTTGATACCACCGTGGGCACGGCAATGTCCACGGTTACTGTTGTTTTCACTTCTCGAGATTTGCATACTGTCTCATATATGAGGCAGATTTTGGTGGAGACACCGTACAGGGGCTTTCCTATTGTTCACAGCGAGGAGAATCCTCGTATCGTTGGATATGTACGCAGAGTTGACGTGGAGGAAGCTATTGGGCCTATGGAGGCGAGCAGAAAATGCACCTTTATGGGCAATACTAGTGGTCATCTGGTCGACGTGCTTGACCTTTCTTCGATCGTCAACCCTGCGCCTTTGGTCGTGAACATAGATACAACGCTTGAGTATCTCATGGATATTTTTGTCAGATTGGGGCCTCGCCATGTTCTTGTTGAATCCAATGGACATCTTGCGGGAACAATAACAAGAAAAGATATTTTGCGCTACGAGCACACTACCCATGAGCTTCATTCCCCTCATGTGCACAATGATGTCTTGGACAAAAAAGTATGGAAAAAATTCCAAAATGCTGGTGAGTGGATACGAAAACTACTCAGGCGAGCGGGACTTGCTGCTCTTTCGAAGCACGTTTAATTCGTTAACATTGATTGTAGATACTTGAAAGATACATATTATGCCAAAACTCAACCCAACAATTGACCCCCACTACTCTCTCCATTTACCATGATCTTTGTATGTCGAGTAAATGGATTGGTAGTAAGCCCTGCCCAGGTTATCGAGACACAGGTTGACCAACAGAAGCTCTGTTTTTGAGAGAAGCGAGAATAAACTGTAGATTCCGGGCATCATCTGATCGTTTACATTTCCCGAGAATCGGTGATTCAACCTTGTGTGAATATAGTTCACCAATAGGATGTGGGCGTGCTTCCGCAAAGCCTTTCTGAAAATAGCGGTACGCGAAGTTAAAGAATCCGATTCTTTGGTGTTGACGTGACTTGGGGGTTCACAAAGAGAGGTAAGAAGTCTGGCGTATGCAGCTGCTGAAGCTGAAGAGCTGCGAAGAACCCCAGTGTTGGAAATCGGCATCATCATATCCGCAACCACCTTTACGATCAAGTGATATCTGGATGAGAATCTATGACGGTGGAACAAAACAACGAAGGACACAAGCTTCACAACTGAATTATACACTTTCTCAGACGCCGCACCATAATCGAGCTCGTGTGATAGTGAGTGGGCAGTGCTGAGAACAAGCTCCACCGTGTATTGCTTGAATACCCAGGTCTTTTCAGAAAGTGAGTCTGTAATTGTGTTCACAAATAAAAGAATGGTGACTGGATCGTCGAGGTCTGCTTTGCGCTCTGTAAATGCCAGGATAAAAGCGACTAGGAGTTTGGCATGATTGAACTCAGAATCCTTGCACAAGCAAAGTGTCAAAATACTGCCCAAATCCACGAGCAGGGGTACGTATTCAGTCTGTGAGTCCCTCAAAGACGTAATTGTACTGGCAAAGATGTCAGTATAAACATCATCTGGTAGTGTTTTCACAAAGCTTTTGAGACTAGCATTCAAGTGTTCACGAAGTGTGGCGTATATCACGTTCTTGGAAAGAGATTGGCGAAGAGCCAAGTACAATGCGGCAATGAAGTGTGCGTCTTCAGCGTTGCTGATTTTGGCTATCAATGAGAAAAGCTGAGCTTGGCACTTGGCAGAGACTTTTGCAGACTCGATTTTGCGAATGGCTTTCTTGATCTCGGCACTTGCACTCTGAGTCAAGGTAGAAATCCTATTGAGAGCAGAAAGCTGTTGCTCCATGTTTCCCATTTTTATACGTTTGCAAATAATCGCAACGTATTTTTCGAGAAATGATTCAAAGTTCTCCAATTCCTTTGCAGATTCCATTGAGAGGATAACGCTCGACAAAAGCAAATCAGCATTCAGTGGATTTTTGAGGGATTCCCGGAGTTTCTTAGCGCCATTCTCAACAAAAGCCTTTGACTGGGGGCTTTTGATGGTGGTAATGTGCGCAAGCCAAATTCTCTCTGCTATAGCAATAGTATCTGGGAGGGTATCTTCAGTGGTCTTAGAAACGAATTTGTGAAGTTCCTCAAAATCTTTTTCAAGGTGGGTGTTTAGCGCAGGCTCCTGGAAAATATGCTTTAGCGTGCTTCTAATAATGGTCTTTTTGGGATGCTCAAGGGCATCTGCAACCATTTGAGACAACAGTTTACCAAAGAATCTCCGCACCACCATCGGAGGAAATATTGACATGAGGTCATACACACATGGAGGTTTAGATTCCTGGATGTATACCAGGAGCTCAGAAAGAAAAAGGGGGAGCTCGCATAGTATATATTGGCGTCTTTGGATGTAGTTCAAGACAGATTGTGCTTCCAATTTCTTGAACGCCTTTTTGAACCACTCAGTGTAAGAACCCGGAAAAAGGCCCATGATAACAATCCATCTTTCAGCAAAAGGAATTATCGAGTCTTTGGTCATGCTTTTGATGTACTGTAACACTTGTTTGGTGTCAACATGCGTGACATCACCCGTCAATTCAGCGATTCTAAAGAGCAAGTCAAAGTCCGTCTTTGAGGCAGGAATAAGCTTTTGACCGAGCGTTCGCTTGCAGATCTCTGGCAGAGTCTCAAGAAGCGATTCCCCGTAAATGCAAAGTAGGTAATATGCAATTTCCGACCATCCGGCGTGGCAGAAAGAGTAGTCTGCAAACAAAGCCTGCGACGCTTTCTGCTTGGCAAGAGGACATGATAAGAGACCTTGGACCAAAAGCGACAAAGGCTTCAACGACTTGGATTCTAGAAATTGTTGGTTAAGCTTTGCAATTTGGTTTCCCGACATTTCGTTCACTTTCGGCGTTAGCTTCTGAAGAATTTCAGGCGACGACCAGTAGTCAGAGACCGTCAAAGCAAAGGGATAGACTTCACTGGCAAAAAGCGGGAAGTCTCTTGCCCGAACAAAACCCAGGGCAATGTTCTCGGCTATGACCATGAGGCTTGGCTTAGGTTCCTTTGCGGAGCGGCTGACGACTTCCTTCCATTTGGAGGCCGTCAAGTCTGGGTCTAGCTGTAAGAGGCGAGAGAGAAGTGTCCAGTTTGGCAGCGGCTGTGCGAGTTCTTTGGCGTAGATCTCCGAGAAAAAGGTGGAAGATAGCGTCTTGTTCACATTGGAGAGCACCGTGATCAAACTCTCAGCCATTGAGAAAAATTTCCCTGCGGTTAGCTTGACGTATATGGCCTCGCACGCAGCAATGTCTGTCGAGGCCAAGTTCACGATGACCTCTTGGAAAAGAAACAGCACTCCTCGTTCATCCAAAAAGTCTGGTGGAGACTCCATGGCAGATGCGACTTGTGCGGGCAAAACGGTGCGCTCAAGTTCAAACAAGACCGACAAAAAGATCTTGTGTAAGATTTCATATGTATCCAAAGGAAGCGAGTTTTTACGGTGGCCGAAAAGAGTAAGGTGAACGGGGAGCACTTCCTTGAAGTACTTTGCCATGCTCTTTTTCGAAGGTTTGTATGTGACAACCTGGTGTGGGAGTTGGTAGATGCGGTTCAAGAGCATCGACCACTCATCAATTGGGAAGGCAGAAATGGTGATCAGGTCCATGCCTAGAAGCAAGAACGAGTAACTTTTCAAGAGGCCCATAGCAGAGAATTCCTCCACCTCAATGTACCCCGAAGTCAGGAAAATGTTCAAGCATTGAAACAAATTTCTGAGAAGAGAATCAGACTCTGGGGCCAAAGGCTGCTCCGGCTCGATTTTTGAAGACGCGTCGTCAATGACAGCTATGGCCACCAGCATCAATTTCACTTTGCGAAAGGATTTTGTTCTGATTTCTCGACTCAAGGGCTCGGAGCCCAAAGCATGCCAGACCTCGGCCCAAAGCAGCCATAATTCAGGACAGAACTTCCAGCACATGAAGTTTTTGCCTGAAAAATCCGACACTCTATCGCAAATCAAATCAAACACGAACATGGCTTGATTTGGAAGATAAAGCGAGTACTCGCACCCGAGGAGACGGCGGGCCACGGCCACGGCCGTTTCAGGCGACGTGTTCTTATTTCTAAGAAGCCTGGTGACACCCTCGGCACTGGTGAATTCCTCCATTTGGGTGTGTGGGGAATGGTGTGTTCAAAGCTTTGATCTTAGTTGAGAGATGCCCATCCATCGCACCTCTGAAAATTCGCGACATGCCGTACTGCGCGAGCTGGAGGAAACGCAGATGAGGTGGTGCCCACTAAATGATGCTTAATTCTGTATGAATTTTGGGGAGAAAAACAAAAAGAGGTTTCGTCAGCTCTTCTCTTCCAGGAATCAGAATCCGTTAAGGTGTGTATCATTTTCGTGAAAGCGACGATAAATAATGGCTGCGAAAAGTGTTGTTTGTTGATCGAAACCTGGGGCGTGAAGGGACCAGATGATTTTTCACGAAATCTTAAACACATGGCAAAATTTGCGAGAAGATTTGAAATTTTAACACCAATATTTCCTGGGACAGATTTGGTTATCGTTCTGATTTTGCCGGCCGTGGGACGCCTTTTTAAAATGTACATACTGTTTCATCCTACTAGCCTGTTTCGCCTCTCGCCGGTAGTATCTCGGTCTCATTTAATCCACAATTCAGCTTTGTTTTAAAAATCTAATTATTGTTCGATGTGTTTCATTTTACCCTTTCTTTGGTTCCCGCTTGCAGACTAAATTCCAATATTTTGTCACTTTTGAAAGGGATAGTTTTCAATTGCGCCCCGTCCAGATCGATGGTGTTTTTTTAGTTTACAGTTTTCCAATCCCCACAGCGCGATCTTTCATAAAACTCAAGAAACAGTAGAAAAAAACCGTGACAGCCTCAATTCGCCCAAACTTCTGAAGCAATCAACAACTTGAATAATATGAATATTCTACACTGTCAAGTCTTGTTGGGTATTATTCCATGATGCACACGCATCACCCATACATCACGTCTCAGGCATCCCAGACTTTAGTAGCCATCAGACAAAAGTCTGAAACACAAGCTTTATGTTTCACTACAAAAACAAAGAACCCAATAAATCATCCTATTATGTGATGTAAAGAAATATACAATCCTTCCAGGGCTCACAAAACAGACGACACCAAAGAGTGTGCTTAGATCAACAAAGTCTCGATCTTGTCCTTGATACCGTAAATCTGGTTCTTGATGGACGAGGCATCGTTAGAAGTCACGGAAGCGGCAATGACTGGTCTGGAGACACCACAGGCTCTGCCCAAAGCAGCTTTGGAAGGCACAAAAACGTATGGGACATTCTTGTCCTCACACAACAAAGGCAAGTGCAACAAGATCTCAATAGGCTCAGTGTCGGCAGCCATGATGATGAACTCAGAGATACCTCTGTTCAAAGTTTTGGTGGCCTCGTTAGCACCCTTCTTCAATTGTCTCAAGTTTTGAGCTTGTTGAACAACATCGAGGATTTGCTGGGACAAGCCAGAGTCGGCCAATGGAAAGGCTTTAGGGTTAGCGGACATATTGATTAGATTGGGGTAGTGGTTTCGTGTTTCTGGCTCCTTGCAGTAATTAGCTCACCGAATGTAGTACGAAAGATCTTTTCACTGGGTTTTCGGGATGGGCTTTAGGCGATGCGCCCGCGATGGTGGACTGTGTGCAGGTCCACCAAGCCCGCCGCGAGCCCAATTGGGAGGTGAACCTGGGCAGTGGCTGAAACACTGAAGTTAGAGGTCATAACAGAGAGAACCCCAGAAAGCAGAGCCTATATTCCGGGTTGATAATTGTTTGTTGCTTTGTAAATCTGGGGAGTGAAAATTGAGGCTAGACTTTGGCAGTTGGCTGTAGCTGAGATGTGCACAATGACTATGACACCCTATCCAGAGGTTGCTCCATTCAGTATGGAACGGTGTTGATTTTCTCAAAAATTTGCCAAAGCCTTTGACAAGTGCTACGTGCCACATCTAGCGGATTACAATAATGTGTGGTGTTTAGGGACCCCGTCGTGCAACCCATGGTCTGCACACAGGTGGAATTAAGAAGCACCTCGGTGAGTATGAGCTGTCTCAGGAATAGTATTCAAAGGCGCCCTCATACGTTGCTCCATAAATTAAAATTTAGATTGAAGCCTCTCTTTAGTTGACCGTTGAGAGTGATTTGCTAGTAGAAGTGCGACTTTTGCCCGACTCAGAAGATCATAAGATGAAATGACGCTTCAAACCCGTACTCAGAAATCAGGGTACCGGTGCTTCATCTCTTTCGCCAAAATTTGAGGATACCACTGCGAGCAGATTATTATTGTGCCTTCATCACACAGCTGGCTTCTTCTCTATCCTTGCGCCAATTTTGAAAGAAACAAGTTCTGAGCTACAAAGTACAGTTTTAAAATACAGTTTTCAGCTTCCCAAGTATGCAATCAGCAGAACATACATCTCGTTTATCTGCTATTGGCTAGGAGCCTGAGCGATGGGCTTTCAATCACATGCTTTCGGATTCCAGCTACAATCTCGAAATGCTAAAAAAGAATCGCAAAGGTAAATATATCTCATGGAGCGAATCAACAGCTCAGTAATGTATGCAACCGAGCCACGGTCGCCCTGGCCTGATAAAGCTGTGCACGTGACCGGAGCCACGTGCGGGCTGTACTTACTGAAGTCGAATATCCCCAACGGAAATTAAAGCCCAATTTTAAAATAATAGGGAGCCCAAGAATTTAAAAGTCCCATATACTCTTGAACCCTTCAGTCTTCTCCACACTACTCTCGTTATCATAAATAGACACAAAGGTACCACGATTACGCAGAGCGCAAATCGCAGCACAGGTCCTGTACTGACCCCCCACCTGGGAATCTCCGAGAAAAAATTAAGGTGAACGTTGAGCTTTATCTCAAAACCCACCAGTTGCTTTTCTACTTGAATCAATCACTTCCTCCAGAATGTCTGATTTGTGGTATGTACACCTGCCTGATTTTCTGCCCACGTGACGATTGCCTCTATCCGAAGCCTGAGGCTAGCCAAAATCATGGCTTTGCCGCCCTCTGTTTTTATGCCCGGTGCTCGTCCAATTGTTATCAACGTTCATACCCACGTAAACATGATAAGAATAGCCGACTCGCTTTTCATCTCAATTTAACTCTACGTCACGAAATAGAGGGAATAGCAAACGTTCATCAAATGAGAGAGCAAATGGGCGGTTGTATCACCTGATTCTCGTTTTTTATTGTCGCCGCTATCGCCCGCGGCTGGCCGCTCAAAAAGGGGCGTATAACCCCCAAGGCCATTTGTCGACCAAACACCCGACTACATTTTTTCGCTCGTGTAGTACAATGAGGAACAAGGCAATAACTAGCAACCTTCACTGTTTGGCCGAAGCAAGCCGAATTGACGTTCACGTCGGCTTGTCTTCACACCTGGCACATTGTATCGGGATTTGACCACATGACTCACGCATGCAATTTTTCATTGTACTAACTTCTTCTAGTCCAGTCTACGCTCCTTTCTTCGGTGCTATCGGTTGTACAGCCGCCATTGTTTTCACTTGTTTCGGTGCCTCTTACGGTACTGCCAAGTCCGGAGTCGGTGTGTGTGCCACCTGTGTCTTGAGACCAGACTTGTTGTTCAAAAGTATTGTCCCTATTATTTTGGCCGGTATCATTGCCATCTATGGCTTGGTTGTCTCTGTGTTGATCACTGACTCCTTGAAGCAAACCCAAGCCTTGTACACCGGCTTCATCCAATTGGGAGCTGGCTTGTCCGTCGGCTTGTCCGGTTTGGCTGCTGGTTTTGCCATTGGTATCGTCGGTGACGCTGGTGTCAGAGGTAACGCCCAACAACCAAGATTGTTCGTCGGTATGCTTTTGATTTTGATTTTCGCAGAAGTCTTGGGTTTGTACGGTTTGATTGTCGCTTTGTTGTTGAACTCCAGAGCTACTCAGGATGTCACCTGTTAAGCGGCCGCTTGAAAAGACAAGGTGACCTTCAATCTATCGGCACGGATAGAACACGTCTTTGTGTCGCTCACAAAAGATGCTACTTGAGGACACTCGTGTTAACGCGTACATTCAATGCTTCATTTCTATCAAAGCTCATTCGAAGTCAGATGCTCTAAGTATAATTTGATTCTTCAAATCTAGAAAAAAACTCAATGAAATACTTCTCTTTATGTCCTGATGTACACCATGCCAATTTTGGCGACTATCTTTTCCCTCAAGTCTCTGATCAAATCGTTCACTGATGCCGGAAGTTGTTGCTCGTCCCTTTGCAACTGCACCCTCCAATCGTGATTGACGTCCTGAGGAACATTCTCAACAGCAAATTCATAGAGCTCGTTGCAATCTTCGGGGTCCGCCTTCCAGTGAGCTTCGAAAGCATCTATGAGTTCGGTTATTATAACTAATTGCGGCATTTCGAACTTCTGCTTCGGGATCAACGGGAGAAACTGGGCTAGTAGCAACGACGTAAACTTTCGTGGCATGTAGTTGAACCGGATCAAGTGGAAAAGCCTGGAAACATTCTGGGAAAAGCCCTCCACGTCTGTCGCCGCCATGAAAAACTCGGCAAGGACCGCGTATGGCGCAATGCATTGCCTGATGACAGAGTGGATTTTGAATTCTGGATCGACATTGTTCAACACAATGTTCATCAAGAGCTCGTCGGGAACAGGAGTGCTATTGAGCAAGCAATCTTGGAATAGTAGATCCCAGACAATGTGCTGGATATCCGCCAAAGCACTGGCTGTCTCTTCGGACGACACAGTCTCTTCGTAGCAACCCACAAGCATGTTTAATGCCTCGAAAAGGTGACCATCTTTCAACGATTTCTCGCCCTGTTTCAAGAAAAGCTTTCTGATGATGCCGGTGAGGCCGAGCTTTGCACAGATAGTAAGTGCCCACTCGAGGTCATCATTGGTGGAGCACTGGTATTGGGGCAAAAACTCGCTGACCACGAGCTTCGACTGGGCTGTGTTTTCCTGGGACTCTGAAACCACGGGTGTCAACAAAATGCCAAGCCCGACAGGCACCAACTGGTGCACTTCCAAGCACTCGTACGCATGCCTAGTGAGCAAATAGTCCGACACGTATCTCTTGGTCAAAGACGCAGGTCCATCGAGCATCTTCTCGGTCACATCGACGTAGTACGACGAGAAAAAGCCCTTGAGCTCGAGCAATTTGCTGACGTACGCCGCGGTGGCTGGGTCGTGGGAATCCACCGCAAGCACCACACGGAGGAACTTCTGGGAGATCACGTCTCTGAACGCCTGCTCCAATTCCGACGACACATTGCTGCCTTTCTCGGCTATGGCCAACCGGTAGTAGTCGGGGTACACGGACTCATCGTCACGGACTTGGAAGAGCGCTAGGGCCGCGTACATCTCATACCACGTGGAGACAAAGGATGCAGTAGTCTTGGGGAACCCACTCAAAAGGCAGAGGAGATCGTGGATCTGCAGCGCCATGGACGTGTGGGCCAAGTCGGTGATCCCCGCTTTCATGGTCTTGTAGTTTTCCCGGAACTCGCACACGGTGTACTTCCACTCGGCAAACTGGCCCTTCAAGGCCATGACTTGGTAGTTTCCAACGAGCGTGGTGAAATCCTGAATGATCACATAAAGCTCGGGGCACTCTTGCTCGAGTGCCTCGTATTTGCATGCGCGGAGCGACGACTCCGCCTGTTCGAACATGCCGCGGGCAAGGAGAGTGCCCATATACGAGGTCCAGAACTGCGAGTGCGTATACGGAGTGGGGTTGTTGTACATCACCGCGTCGATAAAATCGTTTTCCGGCTTGGGGTCATACCGGTTGACCCACTCGGCAATTTCCTCGGGTTTCTGTCTTTCCGAAAGCGCAAACCAGTTTGCCTGGATGCACCCAAGAAGCGACGCAAGGCTCTCGTAATTGCGCGCTTCGTCATCGGAAACTTGATACTTGACCGTGTCGTAGAACGCAGAAAATGCCTCCACAAGCTTGCAGAACGCGCTGTTTATCAACGAGTCATTGTGTTGTCTTTCCTTGCTTTTGCCGAAATTCTTTGCCGACGAAATCACGCCGATCTGGGCCTCGTCATCAGCAGGCGCCGCGAGAATGCCGATTTTTTGCGCCGCCAACGCCTCCACGGACTTATATAGGCTGGTGATGTACGCCGACTGGGCGTTCCCGAAATCGCTGGGATGCGTGTACGACTTCTTGTACTCGGATTTGTTGAATTGAAACTGGATGTTTTTCTGTCCCTCTAGCCATTCCTGGAACGATGGGTACTCTTTTGCAGGGACCGCATGCTGATCACTGCCAGAATCCGAAATTGATTCTGTGTGGTTCTCCAGTGTCACAGACAGGTCGTCTGGCACCTCAAGCATCTCGATATCCTCGAATTGCATGGCTGGGTGTGTTATTTTAGAGCCCCAAAGGCTCGATGCTCATTGACCTGCCGGGCTAAAGTCGAGATCGGGTGTACGGGTGTATCGTCGCCAGGCACGACAAGACTGGCATGGGCTAAATGTTATTTTTTTCTTGGGAAAAAACACTGGAGAAAGCCAAGCCGTGTAGCCTCTTCATCCGCGTTATGCGGGCTGCTTTTCCTGTCGCTCCAGTCGGGTGTATGGGCTGATTCTTGGATCCTGGTGGATTGTCACTTTATATGCGCAGTGGAAGTTCGCACTACGAACCATTCCATTATATTCGTTGTGCGTCAACGCTTGATCCAAAAGTTTCCGTGTCTCGAGTTTGGGTTCTCAAAAGACGGAGTTTGTTCTGAATCATATTCTAACATTCCAAGACCAGCGAAAAATATGTACAGTATTTTCAGATGGTGTCGCTCGGGTTCACAAGAGAACGGACTCACAACGTAATTTCGCAACCTCGCACCGCAACGCTTCAGAACAGGTGCGATCAGCCATATTGAACAGTTCTAGAGCTCGGCCATCAAAGACATTCGACGAGTTTTCAATAAACTCCCGTTCGTCTATCGTGAGTTCTCCTGCAGTTTCGCCTCGAGATTCCACCTCTTCTGCCAAATACTCTTGCACGGCAGGTGTCCCCTTTAGATCTTGCACCCGATATACATTTCCCTTTACTGTGGCGAAAAGTATGGCGACTGGATTTTCCAGAACCACTGTTATGTCGTTAATTTGTTCGCGCACGTTAGTCCAGAAGAGCTGTGTAAAGCTCAGGTCACAACATATGCCGACTCTAGCGGTGCTCCCTGGCCATTTGCCAACTTGTTCCGCAGCCCATATATTGCCCTCAGAGTCACCATAAACAAGCACAGGCCTGCTTTTTAAAACAGCAACTGCCGTTGCAAAAGACGTTTCAAAAGGATTCGAAAGTGGATATAAGCGGGACTCACAAACAGGCGCCACAAAGACTCCACGAACAGCGTCAGCTAGAGCCCAGAAGCTATCGTTTCCGTCGACGTCTGCAACAAAAAATGGTGCGTTATCATGCTTCAAGACCTCACCTCTCCAAACCTCTTTTTGCGGGTTTTTTGTGGCTTCAAGTGTGAACTCAAGAGACACGTCACCAACAATACAAATCTTATTCTTGTGGCACGCGATTTTGGAAAACGAGAAGCTCTTGGGGATCTTGCCCAGAAGTGATATATTCGAGACGGGCTCAATTTTCCCCAGCACCACCCTAAAAAGCTTAAGCATTTCAAGTGGATTCTCAACGGAATTGGCAACCACAATGTAAGCTTTGTTCTCGATGGTATACTCCTTGCCCATCAAACACATGTCAACAAAGTTCATGGACTCGCGGGGTTTATAGACATGCAAGAGCTTTAGTGACCGCAGATCAAGAAGCAAAAGCGAGGGTAACGTGTCCATTTGGCCCGTGCTCATATTTGGTGTGGTATCCAACTGTAACGACACGGTGTAGTGATCAGAAACATTCACGCTCAGCAAGATCAAGCTGCTGGAACTGTACGACTCAATGGCACCCTGTCGCTCTTCAAACAGGTACTTACTCAATGTGCCGTCTTCAAACAAAATGAGCAACAGTCCAGCTGTCCCGCCCAGTTCCGTGATCTCACATGTTCTCAATCGATAATTGAAGGTGTGTAATTTTTTGAGTTCAAAGCGGAAACTTCCATCTTGTACAGGGTGCAAAAAGAATAAGGAGAATGCATCGAAAACAAGGATTTTGCCAGTGGAGCTGCGCCTCAAATTGAAAACTCCGCTACTTTGTCTGGCCATCAAATATTGCGTAGATGTGAGATCCCAAGCTGGCGTTGTGTCCTTCACCTCCAAGACGGGAACTTGAAATATGAGTCCCTCGCCATCAAGCATAACAATCAGGGAATGTGAGTCCCCAAAAGCGTAACAAAGCGAGATTTTGCCTTTTAAGCCTGTAGGCACCATACCAATCAACTTAGCCTCCTTTGCGGTAAACAAAACTTGGACTAATGTCCCGCTACACAGAGCAATAATAACACTCAACAGATCACCCTCTTTGTGCCAATCAAGAAAGCTTACTTGGTCTACATCACCCATGGAGATGGAGAGAGTTTCACTCGAATGGAGTATGACCAGAGAAGAGTGTCCCTCAACAACTTCTATTGTTCTTAGATCATCTACCACCCAAAACCGGGAGCTGTTTTTTCTATAAGACTCGAGATATCCTTGTCCTAATTGTGGTTCTTGTGTAGTATCGCCAATCAGGCAAAGTGAGAGAGATCGTGAGTGGAGAGATGGATAATCGAGACATTCGCAAACACTTCCCGTGGCATCTTTGATATTGATAACTTTTGCGCCATCGTTGTCTGTGACAGTAAACGTCGCCAGCTCATGATCGACATGGGTTGCATGCTGACGCTCGATCTTGAATGGAGAATCCAGAACCATTTCGAGCTCGCCACTGTGAAAGCCACCCCGGGCCAACAAAAGCGATTTTCGGTGCTTGTTTGTACACAAGGTTGCGTCCAAGATGGGAGACGCGTTGGTCATGCACGAGAGTATGTCGATGTGTGGCGCCAGAGACAAGATCCGAAATAGAATGGACCGAGAGTTTCGGGACCCAGCATAAACCACATTGTCCTCGAGGTGCACCAAGTTCGTTGAGATGGTGGATTTTCCCAAATCAAGTACCTGAAACTGCTCCACTGTCGTCACTGAGTGGGAGGTACTCATCTCAATATAGATCAACAATGTCGTGCCAGAATCAGAGCCCAACAAGTAGCGATTGTCGTCGATCTGTGTGGAGCACTCTATGCGCGAGCCGAGGTAAGAGTCGGCATTCACAGACATGTCGAGAGTCACGACATTATGTAGCGTGTTGCATGACACAGGAAAATTTGGATCGCCCACCAGATTGGCTAAAGTCACCGTCTTGGAATGGGGAGGAAAAAACCAAAGCTTCGTATCGCTTGCCACCAAGAAACCACCCCCCACGCCCATCACGTGGGAGGGGGCGCCCGAGAACTGCTCCATTTGGCGCACCATGGAAAGCGTCTTGAGCTCGGCCAGGAACGTGTAGTAACGTAGCGAGAAGTTGAAGTCTATGTCTCTGTATAGGACAGCAATGAGCGGGGCACCTTGTTTTCTGGATATTGCCATCAGAGACACCACAACGTTACCGATCGAGAAGGTTTTCGACCCTGGTAGATGTTTGCGGTTCCGTTTGCGCAGGGTGGACTTGTTTGATAGGAGCGCCTCGAGGTTGAAGATGGTGACAAATCCAGTGTACCTATATAATAGCAAGAAGCTGTGTGTGCCCTCAGAGCATGAAAGAAGAAGCGGGTCGATTTCAAGCGAGTCCTGATGGCCCGAGACTTCCAGAAACGGCACCACCGTGCGTGGAACAAACGCCTCCCGCAGCACATCCAAGATTTCGAGCTGCGACTTTAAGAGGACGGCAATCCGGCTGTTTTTGTTTTTTAGCTTGAGAGGTGCCAAAGCCAAAATATCGGACTGGCGGTCCATGTTGTGGCAGGCAGAAAGATACTGCTGGGCCCGTGGGGCCAGGTCTAGGTGCCATGCCGTGAGCCGAGGTCCGTTTGCGTCCACAAGGAGAAATTCACAGGGCGAGCCGTCTACTTGGATTCTGACGGCATGTGCAGACTGTGCCTGTTTGTAGAGCGAGCTGAGCAAATACAGCATGTGTTTTTCTTGCCTGAAGAAAGGCTAATTCACGGAGATGACATGTCTGGAGGCCTGCGCGTTGCGCGGTCTGGCTGGGTGTTCTCACGTGACGCGGGGTTCTAGGTATCCGTCTTTCGGCGGAAGTAGTTTGAAAAGGGCAGCTGTAATTGAACCCAGCGGCTTTTTTGGTTTCTAAAGGAGGGCGAGTTTTATGTGAGTTGCATTGTGCCCTTTGTGGCGGTTCGTGGGTGATGGCAGAGGCGCAGTATGAAACCAATATTGGCAGTGAGATGCGAAGGCCTGGTTGGAGCGAGAAGCCACCATGCAATCTGGCCCTATCTTTTTTTGGTGCGTGGTCGAGCACTTGTATCTGGACGACGAGATCGACGGAGCCAGCAATCAACAAAAAAAGCACCATCACAAAGCACCACCAAACTCACCACCAAAACCAACACCAAAAAGCACCACCGAATCCATCATTCAAAAAATTCATCAGACGTTTCTTGATTTCGGCTCCCTCACTTATATGAAGGGTACACTGTCAAGATCGTCTGATAACGCGCGTCGGCAGTTGCCTCAACGGCCCCAATTAGCCAGGCTGTCAAAAACACAGCGCAATAGCAAAACACAGCACAATAGCAAAACAAAACAAAGGCAAACAACACAAAGCCACAACAACACAAAGGCAAAACAACACAAAGACAATTCAATACAGAGGTAATTCAACACAGAGGCAAAATTACAGCGTGCTTTTAATTCGAAGTGCACCCGGAAAGACCTGGACATGGGATATGGCTCGGGCTGGCCGCGCAGCTTCCCACGGGGCTTGCCACGGCGGGCCAGTCACGTGACCTGCACCATCTTGTGGCGTTCTGCCCAGCTCGTGTTCGGCCCTGGAAGGCTTTGCCGGTCTGCATGCAGTCCACAGCTCCACTGCCACAACCACCCAAGGGCAGCATCCAACAGTCACGTGGCCCTATAAAGGCGAGGCAGTGCCTCTCGGTCACGTGGCCCTGTCATGGCGAGGCAGTGCGGCGCGGCGCAGGAAATAATAGGCAGAGTGCGGAAAGAGGGCCCGTCTCCAAGCCCAACCTTCTATTGAAGGCGTATAATCACGGCCGGCGCAATTCCAGGAAATCCTCCCGCACCTGGAGATTGCTTCATCGTGCCACCACTGCCACCCTAGACTTTCCTCTTTCTTCTGCGCCGTTGATAAGCCGCCCCTGGCTTGTATGCACACCGGCTCATAATCCTCCACAGACAAGAGATGGCACGCCAGCAAGTATACTGGTGCTTGTTTCGTGAACCCTGGCTATCTATCTAGAACTCGCTATAGAGATTTGCTTTTACCATTCAGAAACCATCACGCCAGTCCAAAAACAACGGCCCGGCCCAATTGGCTCGATCTGGTCCAGCACCCATAAATCCGCACCAGGCCCGTCCTGGCCGATTGCATACTTTTGGACCACGTCCAAACACCCGCCGGTCCCCGAAATCTGAGAGTACACCCAGAAACACAGGCCTGATTTTTTTTAGTTCACGTGACGCCCTTTTTTGCCGCCGGCACTTTCTGTTTGTGCACGCGGCGCTGGCGGGATGTCCCTGCCGCAAAGCGCATACCCCAAGTCGCTGTCGTGGAAAATTCTCGATCTCCTCAGGATCCAGTCGTCGCCAAAAGCGGCCTGTCTGCCGCCGGCGGCTAAGGCCTTTGCCGAGGATGCCCGCAGCGTGTTCAAGTGCACGTGCTGTGGCACGGTCTTGGTCTCGGAGAGCGACGCCACAAAGTTCTTCTGTGCCCAGTGCCAGACGACCTGTTTGTGCACGGATTTCGACAGCACGCAGCCGCCGTCCGTCCACCCGGTGTCCTCGGCCCGCGTGGATCACATGGCCGCCACCTGTCTCCGGGGCGAGCGGGCAAAAAGCGCCCACGAATTGCATGTGAAGTTGAAGCCTTTGCTGGACTACTTGATGGCCGCGTTTTCCAGCATGGCGTGTCTCAACAGCTCGTTCAAGATCAAGCCACGCAGCCGCCGGGCCCACTACTCTTGCAGCAACGTGGACTTTGCCGACGTGCGCAGGACGTTTGGTATTTTGCTTCTGCTCCCGTCGAAAAAACCGCTCTACTGTGCGTTGACTGGTGCGAGAAACTGCCTCAGGCGGCTACCGATCAGCCTCTGTGACGACGCGCGGAATCTTCACTGGGCCATGGTGCTTTTGGAGATCCCTATCTTGCACAAGGCCTTGAACAACTGGGACTCTGCAGGGAACACGGTGCCGAAATCCATGGCCGAGGTCCCGGAGATCCAGGCGCTCTGTTACGAGATTGTTAAGCGGGTGCTCGGCGTCTTGAGCCAGGCGGAGTCCCGCGTCTCGGGCAACTACCTTGCCAGCTGGTTCCTGAAGCTCTCCCGGGACGACTTCTCAAAGAAGGTGGACCTCATTAACTTGTACATCACGTTCCAGTTGAAGAGGTATCTTTTCCTCGCCAACAATCTGGATGTCATGCGAAGAGGCAGCCTGGGCGCCCAGGAAGCGGCGGCCCCGCAACTGCAGCGGCACACTAGCTGCAATTCCCACATGGCCCTCGACGACGAATACTTCCACTTGAGCCAATTGAAGGAAGAAATGGGGCAAGCCCCAGACGAGGCTCCTGGCTGGTCACGGGGTGCGCCGGCACTACCGAGGAAATCCGCAGGCAAGAAGAAGCAGGACCTCAAGATTCGCTTCCACCAGTACACGTCCAACTACCACTTGCGCACGGCGTCGGGTGCTCTCGGCCTTTTTGTCAAAGCCAACTACATCCGTTTGAGTGACGACAGGCTTCCTGTAAACGCGTTCTACAACTCGCTCGTGGACTTTGTCAACGTCAAGCTCGATTTCGACTCTTGGCTGAGCAAGAAAAAAACTGTGAAACAGCTGTCCAAGACTGAGCCCGCGCTACAAACTGTCATTGACTACATACATGGGACTTCGGAGAACTATCTCCTGGTCTACGAGCGGCCCCAGTGCTCGCTGTTCTACATGTGCCAATACCCGTTCCTCATCTCCTTGGGGGGTAAGATTTCCATTCTCGAGTACGAGGCGCGCCGCCAGATGGAGCGCAAGGCCGAAGAGGCATTCATCAACTCGTTGGACAAGCGCATAGCCTTGGATGTGTACTTCAAAGTGCGCGTGCGCCGAGATCACATAGTTCAGGACTCGCTCATGTGCATCGAGCTCAATCAAAACAACTTGAAGAAGAGTTTACGAGTGCAGTTCATCAATGAGCCCGGAGTTGATGCTGGAGGGTTGAAGAAGGAATGGTTCTTGCTATTGACCCGCGCATTGTTCAGCTCCAGAACAGGTATGCTTCACAATGTGGAGCAGTCCAACTTGCTTTGGTTCAATGTGATACCCATGAGAGACCTCGAGATATACTACTTGTTCGGTGCGGTGTTAGGCTTGGCGATCTACAACTCTACGATTTTGGACCTTAACTTTCCTTTGGGCTTGTACAAGATTTTGCTCGACTTACCCGTTGGTCTCGCCGACTACAAAGACTTATACCCAGAAGCAGCGCGCAACTTGTTCAAGTTGAGAGAATACACTGCCGATGAGCTTGATGCCGTCAACTTGGTGTTTGACGTAACATTCCTGGATGTTTATGGTAAATACCATCATCGCAATTTGATTGAAAATGGCAGCAACGTGGCTGTCACAGTTCACAACAGGGAGATGTACATCGACAAGTACGCGAGATTCTTTCTCGTTGAAGGCATTGAGGCCCAGCTAAGAGCTCTCAAAAACGGGTTTTCGAGTGTTGTTGATGGAAACGCTTTCTCCTTATTTCTGCCAGACGAGATTCAATTGCTTCTTTGCGGTAGTGAGCAAAAAAGTTTTGATGTCGATATTCTCAAGTCTGTCACTAAGTACTCTGGATGGGGTAGAAAAGAGGATGCCGAGAACTCCTTGACGGTGAAATGGTTCTGGGAATATATGTCAGGACTCACATTCCAACAACAGAAGCAGTTGTTGCTATTCGTTACAGGGTCAGATCGAGTGCCTGCCACGGGCATTCAGAATTTGAGTCTTCGAATCAGCCGATTGAGTAATGGTAGAGACAGTGATCGACTACCAACCGCACACACTTGTTTCAATGAGCTTGCCATTTACGAATACAGCTCGCGAGAGAAGATGATTGACAAGCTCTCGAAAGCAATCTACATGCTGGCCGGATTCGGCATCCAGTAATTTTGACGAGTCTTCTGGCAGGTGACTATCAGCGCACACATTGCCATGTGCGATGGAGAAATATTGGGTTAGTCGGTATCTTCCAGGGTCCTGCTTTGAAATCACCCAGTACCTTAGCTCCTCATTTTTATCTCAATTTCACGCTCCCTTTGATTCGTGTGTTGCGAGGAGTAATTTCCCTGATACATTCCTGTTCTCTTGATGAAATTCGGTTTTTTCTGTTTGTACGTGGTTGCCAGACATGAGGTGGATTGAGCCTGATGCTCATCATCGAGCTGCTCGGTGGACCAATACGGTCAATTTCAACAATTGTCGACTCGGCCAATAACACAGCCTTCACGTTTCATTGAAGAGGTCTGGCCTCGGTTCTATGATGTCGCGCATTGTGTCTAATTTCAGCAATAACAAGCATTAAGGACGCTGTCGATGTGAGGCAGGCGAGCGCATCTCGCAGTCGGACCTAGTCAACGCGAAAAGCCACAAGCATAGAAATCTTGATTGAAACTTGAATTTGGAAGGGTATCTGTTCCATCGATGTCCCTGATGGCGTGTCACGTGCTCGTGGGTGCAAGCTTCCGCCCTGCAGCAGCCAATACTCGCGCGGTGATTACTGAGTGGATCCGGAGATAAAAAAACAGCCCAGGGGCTAAACGGGCACGGCAAGTACGAATGAGATACGTGCGAGGCGGTCTGGCTCTATTTTCTTTTCTTTGAGTTAGAGCGGGAGGAAGCCTTGGCCAAAACAGGTGCTCGGCGCCGTCCGCTTAATGAAGACGTGAGCACTGCCGAGGGGTTACCCGCCGCAGACCCAGCCAATGAACGCACCGCGAATTTGCTTCGTGCGAAAAGCTATCATCGTTTGAGCAGAAAACCAGGCCCTCAGTTATACTATACCCACATCCAGTTGAAAATGTCGCTTGCATTCAAAACGTTGAGAAGCAGCTTAGGCTTGAAAGGTATGTAGTAGTCCTAAGCAGCCGTGAAATTTTATACTCGCCCAGCGTCCCTGTGGCCTGCCATCTGGGGGTGCCACGAGTGCAACCGCCAGGTGGGGCAGACAATCAACCAAAGAACCAAAAACAAAAACAAAAACAAAAGAAAACAAAGCGAAAATGAATGGTTGGATCCAGCGAGTATGCTTTCGCTCATATCTCTCTCCCGCAAGGAATCGAAGATTGCCACCCGCCAGAGTCAAAAACAAGCCGCAGACAGCATGGCCGTGGGTGGCCTGGATCGAGTACCAAGAAACACAAAGAAAACCAAGGAGGCCATTAAAAAGAACTTGGTCGCCTGTCGTCTCCGCCATCGTCGCCCGTCACAATCAGACCCCTCCATGTCCCGAAAACTATCCACCCACTTTCATTGCCCCACCCACAGCCCCTTTAAAAATTTCACGCCTCTTTTCGTGCTCTCCGAGCACAGAACCCACGGCATGTACTAACCTCGCAGGATCTGTTAGAGCCTTGTCGTCTACATCCTCGGTGCTTGCGCCATACAAGCAGCCGGACTTTTCCAGCTACCTTCACAACAGAAGCGAGGGTGGCAACAAGAACTTTGCCTATTTCATGGTCGGCTCCATGGGCTTGTTGTCTGCCGCCGGTGCCAAGTCCACCGTGGAGGCTTTCCTTTCTTCTATGGCTGCCTCGGCCGATGTGTTGGCCATGGCCAAGGTCGAGGTGAAGTTGGCTGCTATCCCTGAGGGAAGCAACGTGATTGTCAAGTGGCAAGGTAAGCCTGTATTCATCAGACACAGAACCAGCGACGAGATCGACGAGGCCAACAAGGTGGACATGTCCTCTTTGAGAGACCCCGAGACTGACGACCAGCGTGTCAAGAAGCCCGAGTGGTTGGTCATGTTGGGTATCTGTACCCACTTGGGATGCGTGCCTATCGGCGAGGCCGGTGACTTTGGTGGATGGTTCTGCCCTTGCCACGGTTCCCACTACGATATCTCCGGTAGAATCAGAAGAGGCCCAGCCCCATTGAACTTGGAGATTCCAAACTACGAGTTCTCCGACGATGGCGTTTTGACCGTCGGCTAAGCGTTGGGCCACTGCCATCTGTGCCCGGGCCCGGCGACGGCTATTCCAGGAAGAAGCCCTTGGGGCCCGGGACATACAATTTATTCAAGCGAGTGAATGAGACGGGAACTGAGAAACGGGCAGCAAAACCTCAAAATAATTCCTATACATATACAATACAAGTTGCATTCAGACCCGGGGAATCGTGCAACGCACATACAAGCGTCTACATCCGCTGGAAACGCACAGCGGGCGGCGCCGCGTCTAGAACTGCAGCGGCTTGTACCCCGTGTACTCGTGGTCGTCCTTCTTGTAGCGGTTCTCCTCATAGCCCCCGTAGTGCGGGACGGGCTGGTAGGTCTGCTCCATCTGCATCATGGGCGGCTGGCGGGGGTACATGTTTCTGTTTTCGTAGGGCTGCTGGGCTGGCTCCACGTAGCGGTTTTTGTGGGCGCCTCGGCAACAGCAGCAGCACAAGGCGCTGAGGCACGAGACCCCCATACAGAGGCATTGGACGAACGTGGCCAAGATCCAGATGACCAACAACGCAGCCACGCAGATGCCCACGATGGCCACGATTTTGCAGGTCTTGTTGTCCATGCACGTGCTCCAGCTTTTGAACGATTCTGCGGTGGAAAGCGTGTCCCGCTTGAAAAGCGAGGCGGCGTACGACTTGGGGCAGATGTCAAGCGGCATGCTGGACGCGGGGGAGGTGTGGAGTAATAGCACGAGAAGAAACCAGCCGGGGAGGTTGGATAATTGGAAGGCGCAGGCGCGGGGATTCAGCATGGGGGGCGTGTTATGGAGTAGAAAAGAAAAGATTGTTTTAAAAAATGCGATGGAAAGATCGGTGGAAAATGGCACTGGTTTTGGCGCTGGTAATGGCGCTGGTAATGCTGGTAATGGTGATGGCGCGGGGATGGACGTTTTCGTGAAACCAAGGTGAGACCGCGATACAGGCCTGATGGAAGATAAAATTAGAAGAGCAAAGCGAGCCAGATCGGCGGGCGCGTCTGTTTATGAAGGACCCGGCGAGGGGGCGTGGATGACAATGGCTGCGGGAGGGGCTGTGTGCGCGTGATACGCCATGTATGGGCATGGCGTGTATCAAGGGGCGGGTTCCGGGGTTGTGGTTTCCTGGCCCCGCGGCTTGAAACGGCAGGTGACGAGAGGACGACTTGGGCAGGGCAAAGTGGGCCGCGGTGCGGAAACTGGAGCAGTGGGCGGGTGGAAGGGTAGTGATTTTGGAGGGGACGGTTAGTATACGGAATGGGCCATTGGAGGAAAGATGGAGGGAATAGGAGAGGAATGATGGGATGGATAGTAGAGGTGTGTGTGTTGTTAGTATAAAATGTATTAAAGATGGGCATGGGGAGATTGTAGGGTATGGGATGTATTATTAGAAGGCATTAGTGGAGTATGGAACGAATTGTTATTATGAAGGACGGGTGGTGGGGTACTGGGTTGGTCGGGCTATAAGTTACTAGATGAAAAAGAGAGTTGAAGGAATGGATGTATTACTGGAGGAGTGGGTATTGTCAGAAGGACGTGGCTTAGAAGGATGGGCCAAAAAATATGGGTCAAAACAGGACGACATAAATCAGGACGGGTTAAAAATGGATGGGTCAAAAGAGGGTAGCTTGGTAGGATATGGTTATATAGTACCAGGAGAACGTGTGGTATTCGAAACGAATGGGTGAATAGTATGGAAATGGTTTGCAACAGGTGGGCTGTTGGGACTTGGAAGGATCATCACTACCTATCAGAATATGCAATAACATGGAAATGTATTGTTCGTATGGAATGTATTATGAGGGCAGCTATGGGCCGCAGTGGACATCTGCTATCAATATGGAAATATATAAAATGGTCTACAAGAAACGGCTTGATAAAGAAGTGGCATTCTCGCTAGGGGTAATATTAACAGATTGGGCTGATCGTACGACTGAGAAAATAGTACAAGGTTCTAGGGAAAAGCTGAAAGTGAGGAAACTGGCTGTTAGCAAAGCAAGCTAGCGAAAGATGAATCGCAGAAAAGATTATGAAAAAGAGATCGTAATGGGTGTTTATGCGCATGGATTATGAGTAGGGCTACGCTTATGAGCAGTAAAATGCCTTAGTGGCGAAATGTATGACTGTTCAAAGTGGCTCACGGATGGGCATCATAGGGATGAACATGAATATAACTATTATTAGAGCAGTGGGTCAATTCCGGATCTGGGCCTTCAGGTAGGGGTGGGTTATGAGTAAGACAGTGCCATGGTTATGAGCGATGAGGAGGATTTTGGCCTGATTTCAGGCGCACGAACAACAGCTTATTTCCACTCACTTACTGTCCAACCGACCAAATTTCTCATTTTCCACCCCACGATTTCAGGGAAGCTGACGTCTATTCTTTTGGCGGTGTCTGGTGGGGCATCTATTTTGGGAAGTCTGTATACAGGGCTCGTATTCCGCATTTTTTATGGAAACATCAAATTTCGGGATGGCATATAGTGGTATCGGAACTGCATGCTTTCCACGCGTGGCCTGGGCTCTGTTCGAAAATATGCAGCCGCCCAGGCTGAAGTTCCGCATGCAGGCCGCAGCTGTGGAATGATCAGGCTGCTTGCACGCGGCTTCTTGGGTCCAAATTTAAGACATAAATGGCACAGCAGAGGTGGCGCTAGTTGGTGCTCTTTTTGTGCTTGTGTGGTATTCTGAGATTTTGTGTGCTTCTTTGTGTGGATACTCGTGAGGCCACCATAGGTCCTTGCAACGTCGGTCAGCAATGCCAGGACCCGGATGACTATCATTTCTGCTGAGCTTTCGGGATTCTGAAATACGGGGTCTTTCCCTTTTATTGACCCCGATCACAACTTTTCGGTATATGTAGGCACCGCACGAATACATCATAGCCCGGGTCTTGTAACGCGTGCCTGGCCTAAAAAAGCATCTTGTTGATAACAGTGGCTCATAACTAGTGTCAGTATCAGACTGATCTGGCTTTCTTACTAGGGTCCCTAGAAAGACATGACTAGTTGCATAGCGTAGTTCCGTATTTCGAAGTAAATGCTTCTGATCCCAAGGCGTGAGATTAATTTGACATTAATTCATTGTCTTGAGATTTCAGGCCAGGATTGCAAACGCCGCTTCTGCTTGCCTGAGCTGCAGAATGTCAACAATCACTTCCTCATTTGTATCAAGATTTTTCAGGACAAGAGAGTTTGATGCATCCAAACCACGATTCACAGGCATAATCTCCAGCTTACTTGCCCTGTATAAATTGGTGGCATCTTTATTGGTCACACCAGACCGAGGTATAGGCAAACAAATTTGCTCGGTTATCGTCACTCTTAGGCTGAATCTCGCTATAAATCGCTAGAGTGACGATGAAATGAAAACAGATACTTTGGGGTACTTTCTTACCCCAACCCATGTATTTTTGAAACGTTTCGCACGCAGAACAACATTGAGCACATGTATAGTCGTATGATGTGAATCGCCCTGAAATGAACAAAGCATATCAATATTTCATGAATAAGGCGGGACTTGGTTCCTTCCTAAATCTAGTGGCCATCCAACTGCGTGATAAGAGCGGAGGCCACATCCTGATCGTGCACAGCAGTCTTCAGACTAATCATGCATCTTCGACAGCTCACATTCCAATTCTGTCTTTGTCTTGACTGGCAGATTCGAAATACAAGTGACCTGCTCATAGTTGCGAAAACCCATAGCCCCATTATTATCAAACCCATAATTGGGAATTCAGGCACCCGACCAAGCTTGCTGAATGAGGGTTTTCAATGAAGAGGATACTCCCCAATACGGGAGCGAAGCGCCCGAGACCAAGTATTTTGTCTTCCTCTCGATGCGGATTTGCACCTTCTTGTTTAAAAGTGAGTTCATGCTGGCGTGAAAAAACAGCATGTGGTTCATAATCACTTCTACCTCCGGAATATCAAAGAATCTGCACATGTCCTCCTCGGATGAAACATACACAGAAACTTGCTTGTCTCGTTCTTCTATGACGACGGTGAAGGGCGTGATTCTCATTGTGCGGCCGAACGATTTGACAAATAGAAGTTCTGCGGGTGGGCGGAACTCCACTATTTTTGCCATGGTGTCAAAACAGGACCCGTCTTTGACATACGCGCATTCAAGGTCGGCAAGCTTGGTAAACTCGACCATACCTTGTGGGCCCATAAGGCTGCGAGTCTCTGCTGCATTGCCGCGGTATCGGTTGTTCGGCAGAAATTCAGGATACTCTTCTGATGAAGTGTTCTCCAGAGTTTCAGGACGCAAGTCGGAGTGGCCTTCCAGATGCGGCTCGGGGACTTGCGTGAATTGTTGCTGGTAAACTGCTGCCCGGGGATCCAAGCGACGTCTTTTTGGAGGTTCCTCGGCATTGCCGGGATGCATTGAGTTGTCTTGGGAACTCATGGTTGCGTTGGGCGTGGAGATGTCTGCAAGGGTATTCATCGGCTGATCCAGCTCGACCTCCTTGGCGGTGATGAGCCTTTCGATTGGAAGTTGAAGACCCAACTGGTGATACAATTCGGGGGTCATTCTGTGAGCAAGCCTCTTAAATAGTGAGGCAAAGGCATCGGTGTCCAAAGCCTCCTGAACAGGGCCCGCGAGCTTCCCCTTCCACACGTCTATGGTGCTGAGGTATCCCTCCAAGCCATTTCTATATGCTTGCGGCCTGAAATAGATCAGCGCAAGAACACACAGCCGCAGAAAGTCCCAAGTGCGCGAGTCCAAAAGCTGTGGGCGGAACTCCTTCAACATGTCCCATACCTTGCGGGCTCTTTTGATGAAAACACCCACCGCGATGACTTCGTTTTTCTTCACCTCCAGATTTCCAACAGTATAAGGCTGCAGGAGAAACGAAGGCAGGTTGCCCTTGGCGAACCCCAGGTCCGGGTGGCTGGTGAAGTCCGTCACCAAAAGAATCGCCGTTCTTTCTAGGACGGTGTAGGACAACACCACTACGGGAAGATGTACATACGTGTCCTTTGGAAACTTGCTTACTTGCCCTACGGGCGGGATTGAAGAGATGTCTTCTACAGACAAATCGACCATGGCATTAGTCCAGGGATTCGGGGTAGTTTTGGTTTCGCGTGTCTCGTGGGTTCGATATAGCGCATTGATGTAAAGGACCCAGCCGCGGCCCACACCCGTGCACCAGGCGCTGGTTCAAGACCGGTGATGGCGATGCATGGCCCTGCTTACTAGACAGTAAAGATGAAAAGTACGTAGCGGATACCCTCGGGGTTTATTGGTGGACCTTCTTTTTCTGGATTCTACTTTGAACGCTCTGCATCGGATTGGCGGAGGCTTGGTTTGCAGCCCCACATCGGGGGTGCTACCCCACAGTCCCAGAGAATGCATAGTAGAACTCCATCTGAACAGCCGGTCCACCAATCTCCTGCCTTATACTGACCGCTTAGAACCGGGGCCTAAACTCAGCAAGAGAGTTCTCACGGCAGCCAAGTTCCAGGAAAATTCCGCGGCCAAAAACGAGCCGCAAACGCTCGAGGATTACATCGAGGAAGGTGCTATGGACGAGGAATCGGGCGACCGCTGGCACGGGTCTGATCTTGCCAAGGGGCTCAGGTTTTACCAGAAGGCGTTCGACAACTATAAGCGAGCCACGGATGTGGGGGCGCCGGGCCAGCGGGACTTGCTTCTGTTGGCGTACTACAATGCCCTGCGATTACTATTCCACGTGTACACGCAGTATCAGCGAACCGACGGCGTGCAGCTTTCTGAGCTCCCCAATGTTGCCGAGGTGCTAGACGCTGGTGCAAACTCGGTGGTGCAGGAAATCCGGGAAATCATGAAGACCCACGAAGCCTCGATCCAGTTTGCAGGCGCCGATGCCCCGACGGATCTTCTTTTCAACACCGCCATGGTATATATAGACGCCATTGAAGATTCGGAGTCTCCCGCTGAATCCTTCCATTTGGCAAGCCGGGCAATGGGCCTTTTGACCGAAGTTTTGCAGCGGCAAGTCTCAGAGCTCCAGGCTCCAGCCAGTGGGGCCAAAACGGAGAGTGCTGACGGCACCGAGGAACCGCCCACCAGCGCTTCGGACGTCATCGACACTGTCATTTCAGGCTTCAATCTTGCCCAGACTTTGTACGAGTCGGTGGGCAGTTCCGAGCAGGATATTGCGGCCGCATGCTCGCTTCTAGGCACGTTTGCCGTCGACGCAGACCAAGTGGCCCTCGGGATATTGAGCCAATCTGCCGAAATCACCGAGACCCACAGAAACGAGTACTTGATCTCGAAGGCGTACGCGGCGGCTGCCTCGTGCGTGCCATTTGAGGACGTCGTGAAAACATGGGAAGACTCCCTGCTTCCCAATACCCCCGAGCGGTACATGCTGGCAGCAGATTGCATGGACTGTTTCATGCAGCGATCTGGCGTGTGCTCCGGGCCCGCTGCAAACCCAGAGACATACTGGGCGGCCCTTTCCAAGATGAACCAGTATCTCAAAGTAGCGCAGGAATTACTAACCGAGCGGCTTGCGGCCGCCAGATCGGCCGCCGGGTCCAGCCAACAAATGGGCTTAGGAGCCGTCATCTCGCAGATCGCCAAGATCCATATTGCGCGTTCAGACATCGATCTCCAGCGGTCCCAGCTTCCCTTGGAGCAGGCGGAAAAACACCAGGCGCTTCTCGCCAACAACGCCAAGGCGTTTTTGAAGAACGCCATGGCCTTGGCGAAGCAGTCGGGAGGCATCCGCGAGAAAGCGGTCGAGAAAGTGCAGCGTGAAAAGAGGAGGGTAGAGGCCGTGTGTCGGCTCTGCATTCTTGAAGGCAAGGTTTCCGAGTCAGAATTCGACTCGATCGTTGGCAGAGGCAGGTGGCAGGCCGAACTCGAAGGATGCCGCGAATGCTGGTACTTTCCCGTCCAATAGAGGCCGGTATCCTCGTTGCTTTCTGGTGCTTCGGGCAGCGTGGCCCGGGACATTTTAAACCCAAGACGTTGTGGCGGCCTCCGGCCTTGATGTTCTCAAGCACTGTTCCATGTGAAAGACTCAAGCTTCTTCTCCATTTAAGAGGCTGAGATTCCAAACAAAAAACTTTGGCTTTCCAGTGGTTCCCAGTATCCTCGAGTATTACTTTCCACCACGAGCAAAACACCGGGATGGCTCCACCGAAGTGACTACTGTTTTCTTCTACACGACCAGTGCATACTGTTGGTTCTAAAATATTTATTATGGATCTATAGACAAAGGCGCTCGGGGCGGCATGTTTGTGAGAGGCTCCAGAGCCACGTGAGAAGGGAAAAAAACTAGAGAATGGGGAACTCCGTGATGTTGCTTCCCATGAAAGAAACATCCGGATACTCGTCTTCACACAGCGTGGCCATCGCCAGATACACTGTGGGGCTGTGCAAATATTTGAGGTTGAGCAGTGCCGTTCGTTGGTTGGCCACCAACATGTTGAGCACATTTACTTTGAGCGAATATAGGGCGATAAGAACAAATCTCATTTTGGGAGAAAGAGACGAATCACGGTCGTGTTTGTGTTTGCATAGAAATGTCGGGCGTTCCTTTAGAGGCGTATGGGAGACTGAGGATGAGTAAGCAAGGGACCGGGGTAATCTGATGAGAAATCAGGGTCTTGCAGCGAGCGCTGGAGCACGTGCGCGGCTGACTGCAGGTGACGCCTCTGCGCGTGATCAGGCGACGCACGTGATATGGGTGACACGTGATATATACGACACGTGACTCTTTGCACGTGACGCGACAGGGCCTTGAAGACGGGCAGCTCAATTGTTCGTATTCGGTATTATAAACGAGCGACTCAGCGGCACGTGGTGCAAACTATATACAGAGAGTGGGCGTCCTCCGCCGCAGGCTTACTTCAAGAGCTGGTCAAAGGCAGGAATCAAGGACTGGGCCAAGGCAAACGAAAACACCAACTTGGGACCGGTGGTCAACAACTTGGGCGTCAAGCCCTTGAAGAACGAGGTGAGGCCCTCGTTCTTGGCCATGTTCTTCAAGATCGTGAACCCAGACTCCTTGCTCTCGAAGTTCTTGTTCTGGATTCTGGTCTTGATGACATCCAAAGGTGCAGAAACAATCAACGAGGCCGAGGCGCCGAAAATGGATGTGACGAAGTTCTGCGTCCACGTGGCGGATGAGTAGTCGGACAAGCCAAAGATGTACTCCTTGGCAAACGAGTTACCTCCAAAAAGCGCAAACGAGCCCGGCGCGTTTCTGGCAGCGGTCCAGCCCCAGCCTCTGTACAAACCGAGGCCCTCGTCGGCCATGATCTTCAAGAAGCCTCTGCCCTTGAACGCCTCTGGGTTTGTTTGTCTCTTGATCTTCAACACGTCCAAAGGCAACAAAACAACCTCGCCAATGCCGATGAGCGAGCCTGCGGTGGCGGACATGAGCGCCTTTCCGGTTTTCTGTCCAAACAAGGATTCGTACGAGTCCTTGAAGTTGGATGTCAAAAACTCGTTGGCGAACGGCTGGCCACCGTATTTGTACACTCTTTGCAAGATCTTGTACACGGCTGCGTAGCCCAATCCAGGGAACAAAGTGAGGAGTCTGCCGCCAAGTGCCTTTTGTGCATGTTCACGGAAAATCACACTGTTAAGTTGCGCGGCTGAGGTCACTCTGGTCTGGTTGGACATGAGTCTTTTCGACACAGTATCGACCGGGTGGAACACGGCGATTTCGCAGATACCAGCGGACGCGGAGCCAAGCACACGGGCCATTCCCGATTGCTTTTTGTCGGAGGTTGGAGGAGACATTTTCGCGGGTGTTTTTTCGGGCGTTGTGGGGGTGTTTTCACGAGGCTGGAAGGGAAATCAGGCGAGATATATATATGTAGTGGTGGAAAATGAGAAAAAAATTTGCACACCGCGGCTAGATACGCGCGGTTGCCTGATACGGAAGGAAGGGCGCCGATGCCGTGGGTCACGTGCCCGGCCTCTGGCCTGGCGAGGCCCTGGGCTGGCTCCATTTTTGGGCTTTTGGTAGTCTTTTACCGGCGTTGGAAATTCGCAACCTCGGAAAGCACGCTCTGGACTTGGGCTTGGGCCGGAGACTTTCGTGTGCCTTGATTGGGCCGTTTGTTGAATTTTGAACAGGCTATAAACTGACAGAGACTAACATTGTGGAAGTACGCGTCATCTTTGATTTCCTCAGTCCTCTCGTTTTTTGATGAAGAGTTGGTATGTTGAAAAGTTTAAAGGAACTTAAATTCGCGTTGAACGGGGCCTATCAAATTAAAGATATGAATATTTAAAGGGAGACACAGAGCAAGATCAGAAATTATACATATACAGTTATAGGACGCGGAACTCGTCTCTTGCCATTTAATCTATCATCGCAGCATAATTGATGAATACAACTTCGGAAAAACGCATTAGCTTATGATACTCCCTAAGCATGTTCTCCGTCATTATTCACTCTTTTCTCAAGGCTGTTTGAGAAGAGAAATAGAGCGGGAGGGCAGAGGCAGATGTGTAAGAAACTGCCTGGCGCTTCGTGTCGAAATAGAGGGTGTTCACTTTCTCCCGCCCCTCTGCTATGCGTAAACCTTTCTTATCCGGAAACTACCCCAGGCCATGCACCCGGTACAATTTCGAGATCAAGTCGCCTAAAAAGAGAGACCAGTCATATTTTGAAGTATATTTAATTCACAGGATTTCTTTTAAAAGCGAACGAATCAACATTGACGGTCCTGTTGGCCTATTTAGTTCAGCCCATTCTCCATATGCAGGCGCGCCTCTTGGGCAGATATCGGGTGCAAAATTCAAAGCCATTTCCTTCCATCCACACAATGGCTTCATCGCACCAATTATCATCTGCTTTTTTCTATGAGTGATTTTCCACATGCAGATCTGATAAAATGTATAGAGGCTGCTTTGAAAGCAGTCAGAATCCTAGAGACCTCAAGACATGACGTGCCAGACCGATGTATATGACCCACATGAGCAACAAAAAAAACTGCTTTACAGTTTTCTGGATTTATCATATTAATACTATGTGAAAGTCAGGTTTGCTATCACTAAATATTCTCAAGTGCACTGTGCTGTGGCCACAAGTCAGCCCTTTAGCTCTTTTAGTCCCAATTACCTCAGATAACTTTGTGTGTACTTACAAAACCTCTATCGATCTGATTTAACATTTTTTGGGGTAAGCAACCCTGAGTCTCCCTGAAAATTGAGGTACACCTGGAAAGGGCACCAGCTATTGACACACCAAGGTTTGCGAAGCGAGGTCGAATATAATAGGCAACCTGAAATAATGGCACGGCTGATTTCGCTAATGTAAGTGCGATATGCGACGGGCGTACTTGTATGAGTTGAGTAAGAGCAGTATAGTATTGAAGCTGTCTTAACAAGCAGCATCAAAAACTATGGTAACAAAGATCCGCAATACCTACGGATGAAGCTACACAAAAAACTACATGCTGAGAAACAGCACCAAAGTTACACTTCTAAATTTATATTCAACTGCGGGGAATATTGTACTTGCATCCTACTAAAAAAGAAAAACCAAGAACAGGGCAGCTGTTGCCGTGGGCATGATCAGGTTAAAAATGCAGTCATAAACAATAGCAACTGATGGGTTTTGCAGAAGAAAAACACAAGAAACTATTGATCATGGTACATTGTGGGCGAGATCTGGTGAAAGAAAACAAGTGTATGCTGATCTTCAAAGCTACATACCGATTTGTCGATCCGCCTATCCCTGTGCTCACTTATAATACAAAGGTTCTTGATAGGCTGTTGCAGTGAAGTTATACCAGTAAAGCTACGCCATAAGGCCCTTCTGTACTCTCTCAGTATCTTTTAGCTGGTTGCTTAGTTTGTTTTATACTGCGCACACTTCAGTGAAAAGGTGATGGAAATGCGTTTTGGGGCTATACTGATATATTCTGCTAGCAAATCTGCACCTAACACATAGCACTAGAGCTTTACTGGTGTTAATTTTGTATATTAGCGGTCCGCTTGTGACGCTTTGTTAATAATTTTGATCTATTGAAGTTAGCTTCCGTACTATAGAAAACCTGTCACATCACTATGCACCCGGATACAGCACATTGATAAAATCAAACGAACAGAGACGTAGTTAAGACACGTATAGCCATGCCAAAAGAAGTATGCATCGCGATTCAATCATGGCACCAAGTAGTGTTTGGCATGATAGGGAAGCCCTAGAAATCGCACTAATCTAGTTACGTACCTCGTGCTTTTTGGTGAGTTTTGCATTTTGAGGATTTGCTATTTTGAGGAAATAAGACATGCGTTAGCAGATATGGTGCTTGGGTACATTTCTTTTGAGCCACACAAAACGCTTCGATGAAATTTCCGAGAGCTTCATCAGAAGAATGAATGATGATAGAGTCCCAAGTGCATGCAAGGAAAAGCATGCAGCCAAAATAAGCAGTACATCAACATTACATCAATTCTTGTACATTACAGCTCACCATTAGCATGTAGCATTAGTGCGCACCTCTAATACACTAACTGCCACTAATACACTAACAATGCACCACCAATACACCATTAATACACTAAAAATACACCACCAATACACCACCAATACACCACCAATACAACACCAATACAACACCAATACAACACCAATACACCATTAATACACTAACAATGCACCATTAATACACTAACAATGCACTACTAATACACCACGAAGATATCTAACATGCATCACTTCTGTACCTCATTTACCAATACTATTAACTAATCATACACCATTTGCACCATTCGTATGATGCTCACTGGCAATACCAAAAATACACCATTGCTATATGCTAGTAAATAAGAACGTACGACGGCAATGTTTGTTGTCAACATCATTTATAAACGACGCAAAACTGTAGAGTGTTCCAACAGCTCCCTTATACGGCAGTGTCAAAACGCGGCCGTCCCTTTCTGTTGTAATATAAACATCAATAAATCATCAAGCTTCAGTATCACGCTATACAACGATATCCACTGATGTGCAGCCTTGATTTACAACCTCTTACCTACTAGATACATACACACGACCTTACACCAAGATGATACAGCCTCTCACAAAACAAATACACCGTAGCTACACACGACCTTACCCCAGGAATTTACAACCTCTCACAAAATAAATACACAGTAGCTACACCGCATCTTACACCAAAACCATACAAGTTCTCAAATAATAATGAGAAATCAAATACACAATGTTCAACGCCTTTTTGCGGCATAAATACACAGTTTACCCACTGTTTACACCAAAAGCATTTGATGACAATAAATACAAAACAAAATGCAGACTCCATACGTTTCCCGCCATATGAATAACCCATGGACGCCATTGGCACTCCTGTCAAAGCTCTACATATCTGCCTCTGCTGCAGCGCTCACACTTTTGGTCTACACCATCAACATACACCATCAAAATGACCCATCAACATACATCAACATACACGATCACATACACGATCACATACACGTCCCACCTCCACACCCGTGCACCACCGCGCAAACCTCCCGTCATTCAACTCCCCAGCATCCCGCCAGACCTTTACAACCCCTCGTTTTTCTCCACACCAGAAGCCCCCCACCCTCTCCGCCGGCAGCCCCATGACGCGCTCCCCCATTGTCGAGGACTACGCCAGCTCGCTCGCCGAGTTGACGTTCAACTCGCGGCCCATCATCGACAACTTGACCATCATCGCCAAAGAAAACACCGACAGCGCCGCCGGGATCTTGGATGCCATCGCCGACCGCATCCACAAGTGCATCCCCGAGCAGAAGCTCTTCGCCTTGTACCTCCTCGACTCCATCGTCAAGACCGTCGGGCCTCCCTACAACGTGCTTGCCGGCGAGCAGATCTTCAAGCTTTTCTCCCACGTGTACTTGTTGGTGGGCGAGCCCACGCGGGCGCGGCTCGTCAAGATCTACGAGTTGTGGCGCGTGACCAAGACCAAGGGCCTGGGCGCGCCGCTTTTCCCGCCGGCGCAGCTCGCCCGCATCGGCGACTTCTTGCGCCAGGCAGGGTATAAAAAGCTTGACGCGGTGCTGCCGCCAGAGCCGCCTGCCGGGCCCACCGCAGCCTCGCTTGTGGCTGACATCGACGCCATCTTGCCCCTGCTCGCGCACAAGCTCGCTGCCAACCCCGCGGATGCCGCGCTCGCCGGCAAAAAGGCCGCGCTCGCCGAGCTCCGCGTGCTCTTGCTCAGCCAGGCGCTCCTGCCCGGCGAGTTGGCGGGGATCCAGGCGAGACTCGCGCCCATGAAGGTGCCGGGGGCTGCTCCCGGGCCAGCGGCGCCGCCGGTCGCTGCACCTGTGCCGCGAGCCGCGGCGCTCTTCTCGGAGCTCGTGGCCTCCGGACTCGTGGCCGTGGACCAGGCGCTCGTGCGCGGCGCGGTGCCGGAGTACACGCTCGTGCTCCCGAAACACAAGCACACGCCCGGCAAGCACGGGCGGCGCGCGGCGTCCGCGCTCGAGCGGCTTTTGGCGGACGCCAACCTCACGCACAAGTCGCAGTACGAACAGATCAAGTACAAGGAGCTTGTCAAGGTGCTGCAGTGGATAGCGGGCGCCGGGGCGGCGCGGGACTTGCAGCGCTTTGTGACGCAGGCCGAGCTCGAGGCCGCCACGGTGCAGGTATTGTACGAGACCAAGGCGCTGAAGTGTGCCCAGTGTGGCCGGCGGTTCACGGCGGACGCGGCGGGCGCGGCCCGCAAGCGCACGCACCTCGACTGGCACTTCCGCATCAACCAGAAACAGGCCAACTTCAAGAGCAACGTGCAGCTGCGCAGCTGGTACCTCGACGACTACGCGTGGGTGCAGTTCCGCGACGACGACTTGCTCGAGTACGAGGCGGCGCCGCGGCCGGAGAGGCGCGAGCCCGTGCCCGAGGCGCCAGCGGCTGAGGCCTACGTGGTCATTCCCTCGACGGAGAGCAACACCAGCAACATGTGCACGGTGTGCCGCGAGCAGGTCAAGCCCACCTACAAAGACGCGCTAGGCGAGTGGGTGTGGGACGCGTGCATGGCTGTGCCGGGCGCTGCGGGCAAGATCGTGCACGTGAGCTGCTTCGAGGAGGCGAGCCGCAAGCGGGGGGCGCCTGACGATGGCGACAGGCTCCTCAAAAGGGAGAGGCTCTACTAGGGCTGCGTTTTCGCCGCCCGGGGTCTTGCCGGGGCTGCGTGCGGGCCCGCTGGCTCGTGCCCATGTCTCTGGGTGTCTGGCGTCCGTCTTCTGCGATGCCTGTCTTCTGCGATGCCTGACTACTACAATGCCCGACTTCTGCGATGCCTGATGCCCGGTGACTTCTACAATACCTGATGCCCGGTTTCTTCGGCTAATGCCTTTACATGGCGTCTGTGCTGCATGGCATCTACGCCGCGTTCTGCTACCCTGATGGTATCCCATCACCTTTGCCTACTGTTGATCGAAGAAGGCGCCTTCAAGGCCCATCTCTCCTTCGCCGGAAGCTAACTGCATATCTTGCATTCTTCTAGTGTATATACGTGCACTGCTCAACAAGGGCCATCGGACTCGTCCCGGCCTTGGTGCATCCGTGCCCGGCTCAGAGGATAAATATACTCCCAGCATGGCCAAAAGCTTACTTCTGGCCCAAGCATTTCAAGATGTCGCTCCACACAGTGGTGGGCTTCTGCGACGCATCCACTCCGCTCCAGATACCCGTCTTTCTGTAGTACTCGACAATGGGCTCGGTCTGCTTGTGGTACGTGACCAATCTCTTCTTCAACGCGTCCTCGTTGTCGTCGGATCTCTGCACCAACGCCTCACCAGTGACATCGTCAATCATGTCCTTCTTGGGAGGGTTGAACAACTTGTGGTACGATCTGCCAGAGGCGGGGTGCACCAATCTGCCGGTGATTCTGGCCACCAACAACTCGTCGTCGATCTTCAACTCAACGGCACTCTGCAAAGGCGTCTTTCTCACGTCCAACATCGAGTCCAACTTCTCGGCCTGAGGAATCGTTCTTGGGAACCCGTCCAAGATGAAACCGCGCTGGCACTCCTTGTTGTCCTCCAATTCGGACTTGATCATGTTCACCATGATTTCGTCGGACACAAGCCCGCCCTGGTCCATGATTTTCTTGGCCTCGACACCCAAAGCAGTTTTGGCTGCAACCTGGGCTCTCAACATGTCGCCGGTGGCCAAGTGGCAGGCGCAGAATTTCTCCTTCAAGTTTGGAGCCTGGGTGCCTTTTCCGGCACCTGGAGGGCCGATCAACACCATTCTGATCGACTCGGGGACGTCCGGCGTGAGTCCAGCCTTCTTCTCCAAGGCGTGGATTCTGTCCTGCAATTTGCCAATGGTGGATTTGAGATCTTCAACAGACATTTTTCGATGGTTTGGTGGTGTTATTCCGTCCTTGACAGTGCTCTGGGGATTGGGCTCGTTTTTTTCACCCAATGTTGGGGAACCCGGGAGTGCAGATAGTGCGCGTCACGTGACTCCCGGGGTGTCTCCCGCCGGCGCCTCCCTTAGCAGAGACGACGGGCCGGGCAAGGCCAGGGCCAGTGTTTCAGTGCCCAAGGCATCTGGAACACCAAAAAAGAAACAATATTCATAGCGCTTTGGTGTCCGGCAGCGACCTTGCTTTCAGGCGGTACAACGAGCCCCGTGACACGTGACCTTGGGTCGCGCTCGCCGTTCGCAAATCTCTATTGGACCGCATGCCTCTGTCACGTGACATGGTGTGTCGGCGACCGTATCTCCGGCCCTCCGCCGCCGGTCCGGGCACTGGCCAACATCCCGGAGTTTGTTCAATACTATCTAACACCCCGGCCCTGAAAATTTGGGGCCTTCATTTTCCATCTGGCCTTTTATAGATACTTATATGACGTCACTTCCTAATCAGGCAACCTCCGCTGCTCCCTCATTTATACACACGTAGATCTCGTATCCCCGCTTTAGGCCTGCGTCCTCGGTTCGTGCCAGTGGCATGGCTGCAAAAAAAACGAAACATTATATAAATAGGGAATTTCCTGTGTTACGTGTCGCTACTATAAATAATACTAGGTTGCACGTGCTGTTCCATATTGGGCTCATAAAGAAATCAGGGGATTAACGACACATGCTATCGTGTTCGCCCCCTGTCTATTTTGCCCCCTGGCTAGTCGAACTTCACGTGCAAATGAAGACCTCAGCATGAAACGTGAGTGGTAATTTTCTATTCTCTTTTTTTTCTTATCAGCCATGCCCCACTATAAGTACACCTTATATCTTGGAGCCTTATCATTGCCTGAACTTGACCACCGTTTTTCGTGACAAAAAAATAATTTCAAGACACACATGCCATGTCGTTGCGGTCCATATGTGTTCTCCTCAAACTCCCTTTGGACCTTCTCATTGTTGTTCTAAGATTCTATATATTTGGGGGTCTCCGATTCAGGAAATACAGCCGTCAGCTAATTAACTGTCTTCGCTTGCGGGTCTACAGGGCGGCATTGACGGTAGACATACCGGATGGCAAACTCATCGGCCCCCACACCAATTCCTTTTTGATCCGAAAAGTCATCCCTTTCATTCTGTCTACTTTGGTCAAAAATTGTTCCGCATACGGTGAGAGGTTCGATGCTCAATCTTTCTGGCTTGTTAAGCAAAAAAACAGAAAGCCTTCAGACCCAGTGATCATTTTTTGTCATGGCGGTGGCTACTATATCCAGACCGTGCCTTCGCAGATCCAGTCTGTTATTTCAGTATACCAGCTTTTGGATCCAGAGGTTCAGAGACGAACCTCCATCTTGTTTCTCGACTACAAACTTGTCTCAGATGGCTATCCGTTCCCCACGCAGCTACATCAGCTTGACGATACATACAACAAGTTGATTCAAGAGGGAAATCACAATATTACTCTAATGGGTGACTCTGCCGGCGGCCATCTTGCCATAGCATATACCATCTTCTTACGATCTTTAGAAAAGCTGGTTGTTTACCCTTCTAAACTCGTGCTCATTAGTCCATGGGTCAAACTAAGTCCCCTTCCTTCTGACGCGCAAGAGGGGACTTCGTGGCATGATAATGAGGACCGAGACTTGATTACATATCATCGCTTTTCCACTGTATCGGACTTGAAGCACATGATAGGGTTTGAAGATCCTTTTTCTTTGTTATATTCGCCAGGTGGTAAGACTCCAAGAACCCGAGACGATTGGTCTTCCATTCCAAACTATTCAGACCCAAACCATGATGTGTTCTTGATCCTAGGCGAAGACGAGAGTTTTAGGGATGACATCGTGCAGTGGGCATCATATGCTTTGAACTATCCACAGGGCGAAGAATACGGCGCGTTCTCAAGGTACAAAGATGAAGCTAAGTTTACCTTCACTCGTCACGGCCAACCTGGGAATGCCAACTTGACTGCTTATGTGGAACCGATGGGCGTTCATGACGCAATGTTGTACTTTGAGCACGATATCGCGAAAAAGATCGAGAAGGTGTTGCGCATGAAGAAGAAGCCCAACGTTAAAGACTTCGATCTGAATCAGTTCTTTGGCGTCACAAGATTAACCAAATTCTTGAATGAGACGCTTTGAGCGTTTTCAACTTACAATTTCTTAAAACTATTGATGCATACCATGATGAATAATTATTTAGGTCTATAAATGTGCATTTCTGTCAAGGCGGACCCATTCCGCCTTGAATGTTCACTGAATATGTTACGACATGTTGTGGCATGTGTTAGTATTGATGTGTGTGGATCTCGGGGACATGCTGCACCTTCACCAATGGCCTATAATTAGGTCTCCACATTTGGGATTTCACCCACTTCAAACACTTCTGAAAGTCTCTTGGCACTTCGACAAATCCACCGTCTGGTCTTTCTTCGCTCTCAACACGAGCAATGCCTTCTTTCAAACTCTGCAAGATGATGGCCGTGGCAACATGAGCAGAAACCTCATTGATCTCCTCTAAGCGAGGGAGAAGGCCATTCTTTGGATTGTCCATCTTGGGCGACATGGATGCCAATTGATCAACACCTGCAGAAATCATAGTATCCGTGATGGTAGTGCATCTTGACAAAACAGCACCCAAGCCAATACCTGGGAAAGTGAAACAGTTATTGTTTTCGGAGATCTGGTAACCATCGACAGGCTGGAAGGGCGATCCTGTGGCAACTAAGGCCTTGTTGTCTGTCCACTTCATGATGTCAACAGGGAATGCCTCATGCAAACGGGTTGGGTTGGAGAGTGGGAAAACGATTGGTTGCGGGTTATGCTTGTACATTTCTTTGATGACATCCTCAGTGAAAGCACCAGCCTGGGTCGAGCAACCAACCAAAACTGTGGGTTTCACGTGTGCCACAGCCTCCTTGAGACTTCTCACGTTTACACCCGTCCATTCGCTGTCTGGGTCAGCATAACGAAGCTGGCCTTCAGGGGAGTCTTTGTAAGACTGGAGCACCACACCACGGCGGTCCATGATGTGAATCTTCTTGCAAGCGTCTTCCACAGACGAGCCGTGCGAACACATGTGATTAACAATCTGATCAGCAATACCCAAGCCTGCGGATCCAGCACCGTAGATAAGAACACTGGTTTCGAGTAATTCCCTGTTGCTGAACTTAAGGGCCGCAGTAATCGACGCCATGACCACGGCACCAGTGCCTTGGATATCGTCGTTGAAAGAGGGGATAAATTCACGGTACTTGTGAAGCATGGTACGTGCACTGGTAACACCAAAGTCTTCATAGTGCACAACAGCAGACGGAAACCTTTCCCTCACGGCCTTGATGAACTTATCAACAAAGCTCCAGTACTCCTCGCCGCGCACACGAGGGAACTTGTTCCCCATGTACAATTCATCTTCCTGGAGCTCTTTGTTATTTGTGCCGACATCCAAAATCACCGGCAATGTTCTGCCTGGGTGAATACCTGCGCACAACGTCATGAGTCCCAACTTGGCTGAGGAAATATTGACGCCGCCAACACCTTGGTCACCAATACCCAAAATGCCTTCACCGTCAGAAACAACAATATAGTCAATGTCTTTGGCCTCACCAAATGCAGCAAGGCGCTCGTCAATGGTCTCGGGCTGAGTTATGTCGAGGAAACATCCTTCGGGCTTTCTGAATCTGTGGGAGTAGTTGCTGATCGCGTCACCCTCGGTTGGGGTATAAATGATTGGAAGCATCTCCCTGATATTGCGCCTCACAAGCTCGTAGTAGAGTACCTTGTTTTGCAAGCGCATAGACCTGCAGAAATCGTTCTTGGCAAGCGGTGTCTTCAAGTACTTAAACTGCGTGTAAGCACGGTCCACCTGCTCGTCAAGAGAGTTGACTTTTGAGGGGAGCAAACCATCTAGCCCAAAAGCCGCACGCTCCTCAACAGTGAAAGCCGAGCCTTTGTTAAAAATGGGGGAATTGAGTAACTGGAAGCCCTGGAGATCACATTCAATGGGGCCTTCGATTGATAAACGTGTTGTTTTTGGTTTCAAAGCTGCAAGCGCGGCCGTGACGCCCACGGGTGTTTTGATTGTATGGGTGTGTTTTGGTTTTGCTGCAGAAACAGGCTTCACAGCAATGCTTTGGAAACGGGCCAATCTTGACGACTTAAGGATTGGCCTGGATTGCAAAAGAACAGACGACATTCCGGAAAAATATGATGATGATACGAAATGGACCACACTTTGACGCAAGAGTGAACTGAAAAAAAAAAGATGAATAGGATTCGAATATGTTCGGTTCAGATGAGACCTGGTGTTGTGCGTTTAGAATATTCTGCCTTGGCGATTTCCGCGGGTTCAGCGCAGCTATATATCCTGTGTTCCGGCCCTGATACCCCTCCCTCGGATCACGTGCGAGGACTCCTTTGGCGCATCTTCATATGCACCACGAAAGCCTATCAGTAACTTCCGAGGGGTTTCAAGCCAAGTTCTATGCTTTGCATTGTGGCCTGATCAGCATTCATCTTCTTCAACTCAAGATCAACTTGAACCAGGTATTTCTAAAGCAGCTGGTGGCAGCTCTCGTGACAATGACATGGCTTGCTGGTAAATCTGCCATGGAGGTTTTTTTTATTCATCGGGCAGTTCCGGGGGCATTCCGCTTGCGGCTTCGGCTGATCTCGGGTAGCGCCCGCTACCGCGCAAAGTTACTTTGGGCATACGGAGCCTCGCCCTAGGCTCGGAAACTTTATTTCTGGCCGGGCCTATGGATTCAGCAATTTTGGAATTGTGCGGTCTCGGGTATATATCGCGTCCTGTTCTCGCTGCTTGATAGTGCATTTTGGCATGGTGATGCTCAACATTGCGCACCGTTTGCAACCTTCTTTCAAAACCCCGCTCGAGCCGCACGCGCTTTTGAGGGTTCGCCGTTAAAAAATTGGGCATTGCGACGTGGCAAAGCTCTTACCCGACTCACAAAGAATCTCAAAGATCTGCGCTAATATTTGAGCTTTCTCGCGTCGCTTCAAAAACAGATTATGTGCTGCACCTTCATCCCGCATTCAATTTATCAAACGGAGCAGCTATCGACGAAACAGTTGGGCGTCCAATAAAACTGGTTTTGATCCTGTGAGCCGTCCATCTGCAATATGGAAAGAAAGAAATGGCCCTTTCTAAAACATGGGATAACACCTTCTCGTCAAATTGGCCCAATTTGTGTGCCGAGTCAACAAAACAGTGCTTGTCCTGCTACGCCCAGGTGCGACCTGCAGAAAAACAAGCGGCGGAAACATCGGGAGAAGTCGGAACAGACCCTGTCATTTGATGGGCATCGGGGTTTTTCCGACTGCACCGCGTGCGCTCAACACCTTGGTTCGCCACGCGTTTTCGCGACGTGTCTGCTGAAATAGGCGCTTGGCCTTCGGTAGAAGTTATCATTATGGAGAATGATTACTTGCCGTGGGGCTGTATTTGAGAATGGTCAAATAGACGCGTTGCCACGTGACAGCATTTGCTAAATATGAGGCAATCACAAGACACTAATCCAGCTGTCCTTTCAGATTGTTTTTGTCAGGTGAGTTTTGAGGGAGGGACATGATTAGCTTTTTGTGCTTCAGTATTTTTTTCTCCTTTATTGAGTCATCATTTGAATTGGGCGTCGGATTATGGTACCAGGAATTACTGTCGTCAAAGTGCTTTGAAGAACATGTCAACACTCATGCTGTTGCATCCAATAAGCGTCGTGACGCACTCTTCATGAATGATGTCATCTGCAGACACCTGACAACCAGTCGTTCGCTGATCTTTCTGACACATTCTGCAAGGTGAAGAAAAGATGCTAGTGAAAAGTTCTTAAGTCTCGTCATCGAAGTGATGGATCATTTTGTGCGGGATGATCACTACTGCTCCCCATGAATCTGTTCATGGAACTCATTCTTGCTTCCAGATGGTCTATTTGACACTGCGCCAGTGGTTTGCTCCTCTGTTGGAAATGGCACACACTGCTGGTTTCAGTGGCCATCCCTCCTTCTCCTTTTGACCCCTACATTTTCCTCTTCTTTAATCTTCGCTATCTCGACCGCCTTGCTTCGTCGTGTGCTTTTCGGGCTGGGCGTTGGCGTCTTATCAAGCAAGATATCCTTTTTTGGCTTTACGTCCCTTGCCATCTCGCTACCGTCTTCTGTTTTTAACGGCTTCTGAAGCTCGGGGATGAAGCAACTCGTCCGCCCACCGACGGTCAGGAAATCCACCGTATAACCCGCAGTGGTGACAGCTCGCGGCTCCTTCCTGCCCTTGCCCCATCTGTGCAACATGAGCCAGTCCTCAGGGAAAAGCCTGGCGTTTCCTTCAACGCGTACGCTCTCTTCCATCACAAAAACTATCGCATCGTAGAGCCGGCGGAGTACCGGGTGTTCCGGTGACGAGATCTTCCTGGAAATCACTTCGCTTGGGTGGATTCTTGCGTGGTAGAGGATTTCGTCGCTGACCCAATTGCCTATCCCTGCGAAAAACTCTTGGTCAAGCAAGAACGCCTTGATGGGCTTTTTCTTCAGGAGAACAAGTGGCGCAAACTCTTCAGGCGAAAGCCGTGGCCGGCCATGGTGGTTCGGGTCGGGGTCCCCACTAAAATCGGCAAGGCTATCGGGCAGGGGTTCGCCATCCAAGGTGCTCCTTTCCGTGCCTTGTTTCGAGTAGTCCGGGCCTAGGGCCCGTAGCGGTGGCATCAGCAAAAGCTTGTTGTCTGTGGAGTACTCTTCACCCATGAGAAAACGCACTCGGGCCAAGCGTCTAGGATCCAGGAAGGCCAAATCAATGGAGCGTCCGGGCGCAGAGCTGGGGCCCGAAAAAAAAAGCTCAAATTTGGTGAATCTGGGTGGCCAAACTTCAGGCAAGGATTCACTATCCGCGGCCTTCTCTGTGTCTTTTTCCTGCTCGATATCGCCTCCTACTACAAAATCTTCTTGTTTGGCCCCAGTGGCCAAGACACCCGCAATATGCGAGTTTTTTGCCTCCAACACCTTCCTATCCCCGCCGTTCTCCATGAATATCATATGGGAGTGGACGTCCCGCATGCGGATTCTCCCTGTCATGCCAAAGTGCATTAGCATGACTAGAGGGGCACCCAATGCCGTCCTGAATCTGAGCCAAAAATACTTGCCATGGCGGCCCAGGCTCTGAACTGTGGCACCAACCAAATGATTCTCTGTCTGGTGAATGACCGCTGCCGGATTCTCGGCAGTTTTCAATATCGGGAAAAGCAAATTGTCCAAAGGCAAAACTGCACGCCGTACGGTCAAACCAACAACATTTCTTCGGAGCAGGGCGCACGCGTGAGCAACCTAACTAGTCAGTATGTGAAGAAACGGTCGTGTCTATGATAAGCGAGTGTAGCTCTGAGGGCTCAAAAAGTGAAGGTTGGACATACTTCTGCTACTTCCGGCATGCTCGATAGGTGTAGAGGGACGACTATTCGCCACCAGTTTTGTATGGAGTAAAAAAACAGGACGTGAAAAAATTAGGTTGCTCCACGGCAGGTTCGAACTGTCGACCTTCAGATGTCACAAACAATGCTTATGAGACTGACGCTCTGCCAACTGAGCTAGTGAAGCACCTTATGGGCAATTATTATGAAACAGCCTGGAGCTGTCTCTTAAACTACGAGTAGATCGGTTTATAGATAGTTCAGCCTTAGTGGATAGGCCTAGTCTATCTGTCGTATTCTCGATGTCTAAAAAGTGTTATCCTTCTTCAGGGATGTCTCAGCCTCACGCTCCTTTATAGTTCGGAACCCTTCTATACAGTAGGTGAGGGGTAACCCCGATCAGGAATGTTTAGACTCTTCGTCCTTCGTATTATACAGGATGCCCAGAATCTATAATCTGGCTCATGTCGTATCATAACAGCAATGGGACAGCAATAACAAATATATTTTCTATTTTTATTTTATCAAAGATCACAGTTTCGTGATAGTTTCTCTTTGATTCATATTTTATTGTATTGTGTGCGACGTGAG